TACCTGAATGAACTAAATGAACTGAATGTGTTGAAACACATTCTTTTGTTTCAAAAGAATGAAGGTACATGTCAGGAATCCCGTTCATATTTTTCAATTGCGTGACTTTTTGACATTATAAAGATAATTTTAAGCAATAGCTTAACTGTAAGGAAGTGTCACCGTTTAGCAGTGTTCATGAGACTTTCTCCTTGGTATATTGGAGGAAGTAAAGTAATCCATAATTATTTTACTTTATCCATTTATCAGCCATTACGGTTATTTTGTCAAGATATGAAGATAAGTAAAAAAGTGACTTCCTGCGGATTTTTGGTATAAAAGCTATCCTATGTCGTTTTTTGAGTTCAAACCATGTCTGTACCAAGTTTCACAGAAATCGGTTTAGTAATTTAGGCTCGGAGAAAAGACAGATAGACAGCGTTACTTTCGCATTTATATTGTTAGTTTGGATCGGTAAATGTCTTGAGGGGTACGTGGATTTGTACATGAACGTCGGTAGCTGTTTAAACTGCAACACTTGGCAAACCTGACTATAGTTGCAAGAGTTTCGTCTCCTCTTTCTAAAATGTCAGCTCGGTATAAGCCGTGGCAGATAGGCGAGACCTCATACACGTACACTCATAGATTCCAAATTTAAAAATTGGACGTTTAAATTAGTCAGTGCAGTGATAGACAGTAGCTAATTACTATTTTTAAACGTACCACGTATCTGTAAATAACACTAATTGTATTTGTCATTGTCGCTAATGTTATTGTAATGCTGTTAATTCGTTTAATTAGATTACCAGTGCTCCCATTTTACGATGAATCAAGAACCGAACTACATAATATCTACGTACTACAAATCGTACCTACACAGTTTTTGTTCAAGTTATTAATTTCGAAACGGTAATATGATTCGACAATTTCGTCGATAGTCTGCTGAAATAACTTGTTTCTGTTTATTTGCAAGTGAAACAGTTAGGTATAGTTTTAACCTTTCATTTATAAACATATTATTATAAAAATCTTACTGTCAGAATTAATTTTCTTTGATAGCCTTATCACGCAATTTCATTGCTAATCACATCTGAAACTATGTATTGTGTTAAACGATGGGAATTGAAATTCATTTGTATATCTCTATGTTAATACAATAGGCAAGTTGTGAAATCGCCACTATTGTGATTGTGAACGTACCTACAACACGATTGTCTTGGCAACAGAGTTCAACCGACGCAGGCGCCTAGCGTAGGTGATACCGGCTCAAGTGTCATAGAATATGATGACCGGCTTACGTGGGCTTAGCATTATGAGCCTTATAGCTGCAATAGAAAAAGAAAAAATAGAAAATTTTCAACAGCTGTTAAATTTCCTAATTTAGAAACCTAACATTATAGTATTCTAATCCAGAGTGCGATCTGGTGTAACAAATTTAACATCTCCTTAAGCTGTGAGGTAGATTTATGTTTGTCTACAGGATAGAAATTTATTGGGCGGAATGGTGTTAAAAACCAGATGTTGTTAGCTCTCGACTGCATCCGTCAATTGGATTGGTGTGTTCGAACGGAGATTGTATCTCGTAAAGTGCAGTTTCCTGATTTAGACATGCGCCAACGCACGATCACGTCGGCGTTCACTGCGTGGGACATGCCGTCCGTATTAATGTAACTGTACAATTTTACATATTTTAAGTTCCATCAATTCCTATTTTAAATAATGGTGAAATGTAGGGACTGTTTTATAGTAAAGATTAGTGTAATTTTAAAATCCAATTTGACATTCAACATTATTCATTTAGAATATCCATTACTCAACTTTACTTGTCGGCTACCATATTCATGACTGTAATGTAAGGAAAATTGTCATTCAATAAATGTTTTCTATACTTTTGAATTTTAAATATTGTTATGAAAGAAAATAAATTCCAAGTGTAGATAACGAAGTCTTTGAAATCAAGTACAAATCTAAGTTAGGTGAATGCTCATTTGACATTGCAAACACTAAATAATAGTACATTGTGGTGTGGTACAGTGTAGTGTGTATTGTTGGTGTTAACCCGAGGGCGTTAATCATCAATACAAACGTGTATCATACGACGTTTTTCAACACACTTCTAAATAAAATAATAAGTACTTAAATAAAAAACCATTTTAATATGTTTCAAATAAAAAATAATCACTTTTCCTATGCATCGGTCATAGACTAAAAAATGAGGTGTATTTTTTTGCTTTTCGCGGATCGAAGTAGTAGATAGTTGCAGGTTACATGTGTATCTACTAAATAATTATGTACCTAAGTAGTCTCGGCCATTATTGTGTTCAAGTAATTCCAGACTTTGCCGATATTACATTTTCTCTATATAAGCAAGAATGTATATGTGTAAGGTCATTTAAACGCGTGGAAACGTGCACACCATTATTATTATTTTTAATTGAAACGTTAATGTTATTTTACGACGACTACGACTATTGTTTTTTTAAGTGATTAAACGTTGGTATAACAGTTTGACTTCTTACTAAGATAAAATCTTGTATTTAGAGGCATAATTGTTAAAAGTTATTTAACATTTAACATTTCGCCTCCAAATACGCCCGAAATACCGAGGTAGCAGGTAACATATAAGTAAGTCACAACACTTTAAAAAAGTTGTTGTGGATTTGATACGTCCTTGCAAGTACTACTACTTGTTTAATGTTATTGAAAATTCTATTTGCCGATTCCACTCCCAAAAGTGTATTCTGCACTGGCCCACTGACTAATTCAACGTGTTTTGACGGTGTAAAATCCACAAAACGAGAGAATAAAAGTGTGCCAACTGAAGCCATACCTAGCTTACACAGCTTATCTCACAAAGTGACACCCATTTATTGATTTTTTTGTCGCTATTTTTGTATGTCACTTAATGGTATTCGTTCATTTACTTATTAGGTACTTTAAACTAATTACTAATATCTGGTCTTCTTATTGTAGGTACCTATGGTATAAGACGGGGGTCGCAATATCAATAACGCTGAGTAATCATTGTATGTATGTGGGTGGACAGTTCGAAAGAAAAGAGGTGTGGTGATATTTTGCTAAATACTTTTTTATAAATTGTCTTTAATGTTACTGCTTGTATCTAGATGGCAACTTGAAAAAGAATTAAATTTTTCAAGTTGCCATCCCCAATTTCCCCTAATCCCTAAACCCTGACTTCTAAAACGCCAATAACGTTATTGCTAGCCTGTTCGCTTGCCGCTCTGTCCGAAAAATATTTGATATAGTTTATATTTTAAAAATCTATCAGACAGATAATATCGGTTATGAGTTTATAAAGAATGGCGCTCAGAAAACAAAATGGTATTTATATTCTTGGTAAATTAAAAATAAAAATATGGTCCAATACAAGATGTTTGTTTTAGTTACAGATAATTTAAGTAATGACCCACACCCCACACGGTCGTTACCACAAGCAATTAGATCGTACACTCAATTTAAGATCGCGTTAAGATATTAGATGTTATTATGGATTAACAGATTAACTTAACTATACATACAATTAACTTTATCTGTATAAGAACACTTGATTTACCTAACACACATATCCTTCGTCACATCGTTTGAAAACAATCAATAAGTGTGGGAGAGCCATGTTTCGGCACGAATGGGTCGGCTCGAACGGAGTGATACCACGGCCTCACAGAAAACCCGCGTGAAACAACCACAGCGTTGTGTTTTGCCGTGTGAGCGAGGTTACCGGAGGCCCAATCCTTCCCCTCCCCCAATCCCTCCTCAATCTTTAAATCTCCAAATCCCTAATCCCTAAAAGCTGGGCAACGCACTCGTAACTCCTTCGTTGCGGATGTCTATGGGCGGCGTTGATTGCTTACCATCAGGTAATCCGTCAGCTCGTTTGCCGGCCTATCACATAAAAAAAAATTACGTACATTTAGGTAAATTCCAATGGAACTCTCACGGGGACGTACCTATAATATTACGCCAAACATTGTTTTACTGTCCACCAGTCTTTCGTGTACTAAAAAACAAGAGTTGTAGTTTCCTTACGTTCCAGAACTTTCTTCTGCTCCTCACATCATCACTACATTATATATATACACATAACAAAGTCATTTTTTCTGTCTTTATATTCCTATGTTGAAACTACTAAACGAATAACGGCTGGTTTTGTTTCAATAGACAGAGTGATTGAAGAGGATGTATAATAAATAACATCCATTAAATAGTGGAGAAATTAATTATCAGGGTTGCGCCCGTTCGAAGCCGCGGCATGTCGATAATTCGAATTATAATAGTAAACAGTCTACGAACTTCTTAAATTTGTTTTCTTCGTCATGTATGTATTCTCGTAACGCACCAATTCTTATAGTTTTTTGTTTTGTTACAGGTAAGGTGTTCCGATCCACTGGTTTGCTGATTTTTTGCAATACACTCTCAGTTCACACCTGCATGACGCTTAGTGCAAGAACATCGGTTGAATCCAGCCGGTCAATAACCAATTTTTTGAATCATTCATTTGAATTCTTAATGTACAGACTTAACTTTTTCAATATCTTCTATCTCTTTTTAACATTTGCATTGTAAATATTTATATCTCCTTTTTAATGTCTAGAGATGAGAAAAGATTAAGTTTTTTAAGACTTTTTTTGCAATTGCTTCCTAACATGAGTGCATTTATCTTAGCATGGAAGTGTTATGAATCCGCTGTCACCTGTCCTCTTGGTCACATGATTCTTGTACTACTACTACGTGGCAGTACGCCTTGTATTATTTTATCCTGCATCTGATGTGGACACATGGGCCCGATCCACTTGCAGAGCATTTTGGGCTAATATAACTTGACATAATTTAATTTTATCATAGCAGTCTTTCGCTTGTTGTCTTTCTACTTCTTTTTCGATTACCATAACTATCTCGATGTTATTATGCCATGGTATTTTAGCCGAAAAGAAAGGGGTCTTTCATGAAATAATTGTCACCTTCACTAACAGTACTAATCGAGTGTGGCGCGTTCATTTCAGCGCCACAGCTCGGCACTTAACTAATGCATGCAGCTGATTCAGACACCGCTCTCCACTAACACGCTATGGCGAACCCCAACGACAAGCGCTTCTATCAGCTGGTGAGTGTACATCCACGTTATTACACCATACTTGTTACAAGGCTAATGAACACCACATCGAAATTCTTCCATACAAAACTTTGCTGACACAAATAAAAACAGGAATGGTAAGGTTTTTAGACGACAACAGCGCCGCCCTATATGCAGTGTTAGAAACACAATTTTGACAAAAAATTGGAAAGACTAATGTTTCCAAAATCATTATTTGTAATTGTAGTAACAGGTAAAACACATTGTACTTCATGCCCGGCGGCAAATGAATGAAATACTATCGAGATACGATAATGTAGTGGCTTTAGTAGCTACACAAAGTGTAGTCACACGTTTCTGTATAGTTGCCACACAACAATGCACCTGTTATCACGCATCATCGATTATTTCTATCATTGTTCCACTCGGTTCCACAAAAACGGTTCGTGCGATAAAAACTCATTTAATTAAAACCTATACAAAAGGTTCTCTAGAGTATTCAGAAGCGATTCTCGAGTCACGTCTCGCTTTGCAAAAAGAGAAAAACGAAGGCTTCGCGTTGGCTCGTGCCTCGAAGCGTTTGTGCATCTTAAATAGGTATCTTCTCATGAGGTCCTTTATTTCGTGTTTTTTATTTATATTTTAATCAGAATATAACGCAATCTTTAAATATTTTTTTTTAAGTTCTACTGTTTTCATAAGTTACCTTAGGTATATCACACTATAACTACTTATTTGAAACGTTTAGTTTATCAGTTAAGGGAAACGTTTTTATCAATATTTTAAGTACATTTCCCATTCCGGTTCTTATCTGCATTATAATAGTTTTCAATTTTCCTTATTTTTTTTCTGACGCATACAATCTTTTTGGACTTCACTCACTAATTAATGCTTAGGCTTGACGACAAAATGTTTCCACTATTTAACTAACTGTTCAACTAGCAATTCGAAATCTAGTTCTTAAAATCTAAAATCCACTGATTCTCAATCGTGACCTGAAATAGAATCCATTGTTCCAGTTTATGTTTGCTGCTGGTATATACTTTCGACCACAGAACATAACTAATGTCTTTCCATAATATTGCATAGAGATTACGAATTTCCCAGATTGGATTTGTTGATCTTTCCATGTATGTTGAAATTAGTCCACTGTTTCTTTTGTGGATAATGACCTTCCGCTGCTGCGATTCATACAACACATGTGGTGATGATATCGTTAATCCATTATCATGATGAATGGTTACTATCACTTATTCAAAATCTGAATGTGCGAGTTCGCTTTACGATGATGCGATATGACGTTCGGCGTCCTGATTGGCCTGCTTCAAGTTAATCGACCAATCAGAGGGGTAACGTTTTCATGCGTTAACGCAAAGAAAACTCGCTCCCTGGCTCTCGGTAAATTCATGATTTAGGTTAAACTTTTACAAATTAATTAGCTATTGATATTTTAATAACAAGAATCCCGAAAAGATCTCTGTACTGGTATAACTTTAGCAATTGACTTGATTCAGTCTTCTTTTATGTTATTATATGTACAAATTTCACTTTTAGCAGAAATATAAGTTTATCCCCATTTACGGACGTTTTTGATTTTGCATGATCTTGACACTTTTTGGACCTTTTGACATATTTTCATGCATCCATTCAAAGAAATTTTAGAACTTACGTCGTAACTATTGTAAAGATTTAGAGAATCTCTATTTCATAGGAAATATATTTAAGGAAGGTGAAAATTGGATACCGCTAGTATCCAATTTTGACGGTTTCTCGTTTCTCTTAGGCTTACAAGTAATCTAGTAGCCAGGTCTCACTAGCACCGGTGCCCTAAATTAATTTATTATTCCATCTAGCGCACTAACGATACTAATTATTGCAGGCCTAACCTCCCTCCAGTGGTGTGGGTAACCTGAATTAGTCTTGAGGAATTTGCAAAATGGAACACTTGGATCAGATGTCTACTGTATAATTTAGGAGTGCTGAATGCTCTAGGGTCGAGGTCTGAGATGGCAACCGTTCTGTTCAGGAGTTTTACCTTCGTTGCGGATGACATAGAATATTTGGCAGGAAGTGGCTTGTTTAAATTAATAACGATATTTTATTTTTGAGAATTCTTTTTCCTTTTTTTGTTCGGAAGCGTATCAAAAGCCAATGTTTTATCGATTTTTCCTATTGTTTATTATCGGGTAAATACTTATTTCCTCCCGGGATATATATAAGTGCGTTTTACGCGCTACTCTGGCTAAAAATAGCGAAGTCAACGGAATGGCAACATGTGTTCAGTAGCGTGTAGCACACCCGCTTCATGTTTACTCACAAACATGTGGTTCGGCCAAGTACCCACTAATACTTTAGTACATTTTTACAACGATTGTTTGTTTTCCTTCCTTTTGTAAAGTTTCTACCTGACATAGGGTATAGTGAATCTATATTTATGAAGATTTCTGGAAAAATGGTAACTTATTTTTGTTTCTTTTTGTAAAAAATTGTAGTAATGTTTGTTCAGATCCAGATTTGATCAGAACAGGTCTTTAAGCGTTTTCCAGTTCAGCGGAACCAAGTAATCACCTCGTAAAGTCGGTTTGTTTTCAATTTTTTATCATTTTCTTTGACAATTGAAAATCAAAGTCATTGACATACAAAAACACAGCATTCTTTGTCCTTGATAAATGTCCTTTGAGAATACGAACACCATTTATATGCAGTAGTTATACCAAGAAGTTATAAATAAGTAGGTATGTATGCGATATAAGGATATGTCCAACACGAGTACTTTATCCGTAAGGAAATCAGTATTTATTTGTAAGTGTGTCACACAATGACAGTGTCTACTTGCTTATCCTCATTTATATGGCATTTGTAGTCAATGTTCAATGTACGTAAGCATATACAAACTCTTATCTAAAATATCGATTATTTGGTGATAAAAATGTAGCGATAAATATTATTCACAATTTACACGAAAAAGGTTATCTATCTTTTTGTAGTAAGATTCAATGACTCAGCCTTGTTAACGCCTACGGTAAACACAGTAACAGGATAAACTAATCTCTGCTAAGCAAATGTAACTTTGTCCTGTTATAGATAAGATTGATTTTTCAAGTGTTTAGTTTTATTGCACAGGGATGTTTATGATATGTAATTTTTAGAGCTTAGGTCATCATTATCATCCTTATATCAGTCACAAGATGAATACTCAGCTTACAATAATTTAGAAACATAAGAACTACTTACACTGCATATAGATTTAGATTCATTTCAAATAATAACGTAGTTATCTTTAAATAAATTTTAAGTGTGGGAGAGCCATGCTTCGGCACGAATGGGTCGGCTCGACCGGAGTGATACCACGGCCTCACAGAAGACCGGCGTGAAACAACCACAGCGTTGTGTTTCGCCGTGTCAGTGAGGTTACCGGAGGCCCAATCCTTCCCCGCCCCCAATCCCTCCTCAATCCCTAAATCTCCAAATCCCTAATCCCTAAAAGGTCGGCAACGCACTCGTAACTCCTCCGTTGCGGGTGTCCATGGGCGGCGCTGATTGCTTACCATCAGGTAATCCGTCGGCTCGTTTGCCGACCAATTACATAAAAAAAAACTCGCATCTACGAGTCGAGACCGATTTAAGTGAACTGATAAGTATCGAATAGGAGAATTTTATAAGATTTTATATATTTCTGGTCCGAGATGTCGGCTTAACTATAAACTTAGTCAAAATAACCGCATGTGTCTTTTTCTATCTCTGAATCTTATGTAGGTACAAACTGTTTGAGAGGAACTTTCTGGAATATTCCAAGTTTGAAATACCCCTGATTTATACCCCTTTAAAAATAAATCTGATGACTACGGTTTTTTTGTTCGAATCTAATTTCGTTGAGGAATGATGTTGCAAGTTCACAAGAGGTTTTTTTTTTGTCGGATCTTCGTTCTTCTCCAATGGCATTTGTTTCCTTAGATTGTTCTAGAATAAATTGAGTACTTATCTTCCGTTAGCTTCATTATAAAGGTACTTATACTATTGAGCAGCAGTAAGACTACCAGTCTGACCTTAAAGTCTGAGACCTAGTTTTTGACTTTACTTTAAGGGTCGTTACAACAAACGAATATTCAGTACACGAATTTGCATAAAGTTATACATATAAACACAGACTTCAAATCATCTACCGATAACGGAAATCGATTATTTCAACATTATAGCATCGAATGAGATGAATCAGTGATGCGTATATTGCAGTAGTTTTTGCTGATACGAGGTCTGTATTGCTTTAATTACAATTTTAAATCGATTCAACATTGTGAGAATTCTGCGAAGTAAAGTCGATGACGTAAGTTCCAATCGTTGGTGCATACGAATACATGCGATTGTTTGTTGCCATTCATAGCGAATATTTTACGAATAATATTGTCGTTAAATTCCATAGTTTTCGGAAGTTTAAAAGATATTAGCGTGCCTAGCTTGTTGCTGTTTACATTCTACGTGAATCTGCAATTTTTCATTGATCCGTTTTCGACCGGAATATGAATCGTTTTTATGATTACTTTTGTATGTTTTTATGGAACATTTTATACTTTATGTATTGTATTACCCGTTTAAAGGCCAATATGCTTGATTTAGGTTAACTCTAAACACGTAACAAAACCAGGTCAATGGACCTCTAGAACAATGCACTGCATTTCTCCATTAACTTTTAAATGCGAGCATGGAAGGAGTTTTTATTGTTTACTGTAAAACATTTTACGTTATTTTTAGGAATTTTAAACCACATTTGGCTAATACAATAAGCAACTTTATGCATCTTTCGTCTGTAAATAATTAGTATTAAAATGTATTAGATAATGTGCGTCCATGACAATAATTGATAAATATTAACTAACATTTTCTAACATTGGGATAAAAAATTACAAACACTCTCACATCTGTATCATCATCATCATCTCATTTAATCTCTGGTCTGAATTAGGTAAATATTTAATCCGTGTCTTACTTTAATGAGATGATTAATCTATTTAAATAACACATTTGGTTTAACGCTGTGATAAAATTTCAATTAGTGTTAGGTACCTATTGTCTTCTAAGTTTAGGCCTGTCTCAAAATGTCTTTATAGCTACTATTTACAAGATAAATTTGAATATATAACGTTATCTTTATGAACTACTAGCTACTCTCACGCGGTTTCACCCGCTGCTCAGCTCCATTTCATGGTTTTTTTTTTTTTGTGAGGGGCAGGAGGGAGTGTCAGACTCTTACTGACTAAAACCCCCCTGTTCCTTGTCCTGCTCTATGCCGAGGTCGCGGTACCTCATTGCGCTTACCCCGCGCGGAACGCTACGCGCCGTACGCTCGGGCCTGGTTCTGGTCGGGCGGCGAGCTGCCCTTACTCGCAGACCGCAGGCCCGTGCTTACGGTGGCCGGAGATCGTCCCTCGATCCCCGACGCCCGTAGTGTCGCCAGTTGCGGCTGCTGGGGCGTGAGGAGGAGGATTGCTCCCTCACGCGGGCCGCCTCTCTCTTTGCGAGCATGACTGCTTCACAAAAGGAGGAGACGGCGTCCCAGTTCCTCTCACTCCGCACCATGGCCTCGACTAAGGCCGGGCTCCATTTCATGGTAGCGAGATGTTTTATAGCACTCAGGAACATTGTAGCTATCAGTGAAAGAATTTTGGCAATCCGACCAGCGGTTCCAAAAATTACCCCCTACATACAAACTTACAAATTTTACCTCTTTATAATATTAGTATAAACTATAATATAATATAATATATATATATATTTATAGTATATATATATAGTATAAAGTATAATAGTATCCTGGGATTTAAAAGACAGCAGCGTTTTAAACTATAGCTTGACTAAAATACGCAAATCAGGTATAATTTACTTATAGCCTATAGCGCTCACGAACAGTGTAGCTATCGATCAGTAAAGGAAGTTTGGAAATCGGACCAGCGGTTCTTTTTTTTTTTTTTTGGTGTCGGGTTGGAAAATCCTCATGGAGACCCATCCCCTCGGGGAAGGGCGAAGGGTACTGTCAGACTCTTACTGACTAAAAACCAACCCGGTGTTCCTTCACTTACCCATGTGTCGGAGGGGCGGGTATCGCCGAAGCATTCGTCGCAACCCCCCGACGGGTGTTGGCCCGCCAGATTGTAAGGCGGGCCCCGTCACCCACTGCGGCCGTCACCCCGACCGCAGGACTCCACTATGAGGCGCGCGTGGAACACGGCGCCGCCGCCTCGAGGCCTGCTGCTGGTCGGACGACAAGACGCCCCGAGTCTGTCGTCCGCAGGCCGCGCCCTACAGTGGCCGCAGGTCGGCCACCCTACGACGTCTAGTGCGTCTGCTGCGGGAGGGAAGAGAGGAGGCAGCCTCTCTCTCCCTTTCCGCCGCCTCCTTTGCGAGCATCACGGCCTCGCAGAAGGTAGCGACGGTACTCCACCCTGATTCGCTCCCGACCATAGTAGACACTACAGCCGGAAGCGAGAGATTTCCCGCAGCACCTACGGCCGCGACCAGGTCACGACGCTGCTCGGCCCAAGCTGGGCACTCCGCCAAGGTATGCAGCGCCGTATCGTCGCGGCAATCACCACAATGGTGGCACTGAGACGTCGGCTCCCGACCTATGCGACACAGGTTCTTCCCGAAACACCCGTGTCCGGTAAGCACCTGCGTCAGCCGGAAGCTGAGGGCGCCGTGGCTCCTATTGAGCCACTCCTCTAGAACGGGCCTTACCGCCTCTATAGCGGCGTGCCCCGCCGTGGGTTGCGCTAAGCGCGTCTGCCACTCCGCCATTAAGGTCTGGCGGAGTTCTGCCCTGCGTGCCTCAACCTGTCGAGGCACCAGGCGCTCGCCTCGCTCGATTGCCTCCGCGCGCCACCAATAGAGCGACGCGAGGAGTTTTGCGTCGAGGTCCCAGGGCGGGGATCCGGCTAGGAGGCTCGCTGCCTCAAAGGAGATCGTACGGTATCCCCTGATTATCCTGACGGCCATCGCGCGCTGTGGCCTTCGCAGCGCGGCGATGTTGCGGGCCGTCAGGGCGTCCGCCCATACTGGCGCAGCGTATAACGCCATCGACCGTACGACCCCCATGTAGAGCCTCCGGCAGGAGGAGATGGGCCCCCCCTGGTTGGGCAGCAAGCGCGACAGCGCAGCAGCGGCGCCCATCAACCGGGGGGCGAGCCGTGTAAAGTGCGGCCCGAAATTCCACCGACTGTCGAGAACGAGTCCGAGGTACTTCATCGTGGACTCAACAGCGATGGAAACCCCTCCTACTATAATGCTGGATCCTTGAGGCGGGACCAGCGGTTCTTAATATTACTTCATATTTACCTCTTTATAATGTTAGTATACATGGGCTACAATAATACTTGTGAAGGCGGCCAAACAGGTGCTTTTCATTTCTTTCAACAATCTTTTCATTATGCATCGTCACGTTGTTTATATGATTTCAGAATACCTTTTCTATAATTAGTGTTTAGATATTAATGGTTTAATACATTTCCAGACACTAGCTATACAGAAAGCTATCAACGCTAACGAGACTCCCGTGAAAGAGAAACATGTTCGGAGCACTCTCATTGGGACCTTCAAGGAACAGAGCGCCGTCACATATTGGGTAAGAAACCTATGTTTTTTTATATAACCACCTGACTGTTATTATAGTAAATGGTCATCCTAGTCTAAATACATTTGCAGTAATTGCCAATCTTGACACGTGTGGTATCGAGTGCGCAGAATTTGTATGCGTATTGATATTTTAATAGGCATACACAAAAGTCGGACTGTAATTTTACACACTGGATGATTTCAATATTAAAATTAACATAGAATGAGACATCAGTCGGCAGATGGATTTCCTGATGTTAAGTAATCAGCGCTGCCAGTGGACACTCGACTAGTTACCAAAGAAGTAACTACAAGTGCGTTACAGACCTCTTTTGGAATTTTAGCGATTTACGGATAGGGGATTTGAAAATGGGGTGCGGGGAGCGAAAGATTTGGCCTCCTGAAACTCACACACGGCGAAATACAACGTGAGTGTCTCACTCATCACTCCGGTCGAGCCGTCCCATTCGTGCCGAAGCATGGCTCTCATACACCTGTCTGTCGATAGACAACAATGGAAGTAATAAATCCTAAGTTAGGAAATAAAGCTGCTAGAGATTATTTAAACAGTTTGGTTATTGTATTCACCAGTGAAATCAAGGCTAAGATCAGTTGGATATCTCTATGAAATGGGACCTCCCAATATCTGCGTTTTAGCCCAATATTTAATCTCAATACGCGTATCAACATCGTAATTTCGATACATTTTATATGTATACGTTACAAAAATCACTGTAGCTTTATTAATCTGATTAATAAAGACTGTCTTTGTTATCAACTATAAGTGAACGTGTTCTCAAATGATAAAGAAAGTCCAACGTGCCCTCCGTCGCTGTTACATCGATAAATATTACTCTCAATGTGACAGTATACTACTTGACATAATGTGGGCACATTAACTGTTTCCTGAATGATCACTGTGCTCCCCTTCACTGCTACGTGAATAAAATCATAGTCGTGACCCGAAGTCGTGTGATCTGCTGTTTGTAAAGCATTAGAGTAATGTAATATACATTTATGAAACACGGCCTTTAACTTCTTGTAGGGGATTTATGTACCTTATTTTGTCCATATTATTATGTAATAGGTTTGTATCTGGTTCCAGTCCATTGAAGAGTATGTCTTCGAAGATAATTATAAGGCTCTCTGGCATTAAAAAAACTTATGTCTTCTTTTTGCAAACAAAATTATTATAAAGACCCAATTTTTCCCTACAGTCTTCCTTGAATCCTTAAATCTCAAAAACTCCTTGTACCTTCTTGATAGGGGAAAATCAAAAAATGAATTCTGTCGCTCAAGGTTAGGGAGAGATTAAAGATCACCCTGTTGTTTCCTGTTCCATCTCAAGGCCGCAGTACCTTATTGCGCTTGCCCTGCAATGGCCCAAAAGGCTGGCGACGCACTTGCAACTTCTCTGACGTTATTGTTTGTCCGTTTGTGAACAGTGCCGATTTTTTACCATCAGGTAATCGGTTTGATCATTTCTCGACGTACCACATAAAAAAAGGTGCAGAAGTCAAAATATATACCTACTTCTTCTGTTTTGTATTAAGGAATGTCAGATGTGATTTCACAAAAAGACGACACTACTCGCTGTTCATATTATTATATCAGCTATAGTTATGATAATAAACGATGTACTTTTTTGTCTGCAGATGGTCGCCATACGTCTTCCACTACAAGAGAACCGCATCGTGGCATGGAAGTTTTGTCACGTGACACACAAACTGCTACGCGAGGGTCATCCAGCCTGCCTCGATGATTCGCAGCGACATATTGGCATGATCGAAAACTTGGGGAAGTTATGGGTACGTTTTTAAAAACATTTACCTATAAATAAACAAGCAAGCATTAGGTATATATTTATATGTGTATTAAATGGTATAGGTATGTATATATATTTGTTAGTATATATATATAACATGTAAGCGCCAAGTAATATAATATATATATTTATATATATATATATATATATATGTATGTATTATTTGGTGTTTATATGTTATGTATTTATATATTTTTGCTGTTTTTTTTGTAGTTTATTAATTCTTGTTTTCCTTTTTCCTAATTGTGTTTACACAGTCAGTCTACACAACTTTTTATTCTAACTCTCCCATAACGGGCCTGCTGGAAGAGATTTCTGAAGAAATAAGCTGTGCCTTTGTACCTAATTGTTGTATTATTTTTCTTGTCCAACTTACTGTGTGTACAAAAATTATTAAATAAATAAAATAAAGCATTGTTTCTCATACTTGTCTATTTTAATTTAAGAATATAAATAAATGATTCTATTCCTTCCTATCGATTTGGATCTAAGACGAATTAGGGGCATTGAAATAAACTTTTTATGTTATGAAAGGAACAGAATATTTTTCGTAAAAAAAATTGACAGTAGGTAATAATAATTTAAGTTATGTTATTGTCTGCCCAATCCTACCGAGTTACGAAATCTCAATGGAAATTACAAATGACAAACAAAGCGTTTCTTTGAAAAAGGTTCCTGCTTATTTGCAAAGACTTTGTCAATTGAAGAGTGTTTGGTAATCCATTGAGTTCATTGTGTGTGATCGTGATACTGTTTCCGATATGAGATTTACAGGAAATGTAGTTTTGATTGTCTCGACGAAACTACTATATATTTACTACGTTTTCGTACAGTTTGTAAACATGTGACAACAACTGATATGGGGTAGGAAGAGGAAGGTTTATCTGCATCAAGGTTTAAGTTACTACCGCATAGGTAGTATTTTCTGTTTTATGCTCGAATTAAAGCCTGTGTTAGAATTAGAGATTGTGCCTGGAAACTATCGATGTTGGAAGCTTTAGTAAGAAACATGGCAATCTAAAACCCTTTGACGTAGTTCAGAAAAACTATAAAGTATCTGTTTTTATATTTATTTGATGGTCAATTGTGTATTCTATATCTGAGTGCGGTGTGATGACAGTAAAGTAGAGGTCTAGGACTCCGGCAACGAAGGTACACATCGAAATATAACGTAAGCGTAGTTTTACGCCGGTTTTCTTTGCTGCCGTGATATCACTCTGGTTGAAACAGACCATTCGTGTGCGTTTCATTCTTTAAAACCCCTTTTATGTAGACTATCATGGACTACTAATGTAACCTTTAATTCTCTTCCGTAGGTACATTTACGCGAAGGTTACGGTAAGCTAGTTCACCTGTACTGCAACCTGCTGGTGTGCAAGCTGAAGTTCCACGCGCGCAATCCTCGCTTCCCCGGCAACATGCAGCTTACTGCTGAGGAGTTGGACGCCATTGCGGAGAATGATGTCAACAACTAGTAAGTTTACAGGTTTATAATATGTACTAGATTATTGCGGATTGTTGTTATGGCTAAAAAAAGAAAGAGTGAATAATGTTTGTTTATGAACGCAAAGAACAAAATATGTATGTTTAAAATAAAAAAAAAGAAAGATAAAATAGTAAAATAGACTTTAATAGTAAAACATACTACGCTGTGTTGGTAGACATGCCCAATCCGACTGGTCGTTAACTCAACACAAGCTGGGCAAAATGGGCATCCAAGACTGATTTTCAGTCAAATAATTGTATTTTATGTAATAAATGCAATGAGGCGGCTCGACCGGAGTGAAATACCACGGCCTACGGCCTCACAGAAAAACATTTGTTTCAATGTGCCAAAAAACTGTTTAAAGTTGTGTATAAATGGGAAAACGGCGTAAATTTTAACAAATACAGGGTTTATTTTCGTTTGAAACTGAAAAATTAGTCTTGTTTTCAACATGAAAATCTTTTGTTACAGCTTCCAGCTTTGCGTGGAATTGTTCGACTACATGGACGAAATTTTGAATTTGCAAGCAGCAGGTTCGTAGCAATATATATATTTACTATTCATATTGTCCCCAGGCTCGATATTATATTTATTTATTTGCGTCTAAATATACTTTTAAAGTAGGTACATATGTATATATAGTCATGTTGATAAATACTAGGTTACACAGAGTCATCGTTATATTACAGTATTCGATAGCTTGGGCAACGCGCGCGCCAACTCGATGACAGCGAGCGGGCAGTGCCGGCTGGCGGCGCTGATCCCGTGCGCGCAGGACGCGTCGCAACTCTACGACTGCAACGTGCGACTGCTGTTCCGTCTGCACGCCGCCCTACCGGCAGACACCCTCGCCGGACATCGCGAGAGGTACTGGAATAAACACTTTATTAAAACACACAACACACTACACTATTTTGCAGTGGCGCTAGTGTCGTTTTAGGGACACTGCAATATCGATTGGAAATATCGACTTATTCACGTAATTTAAGTGTGGGGGAGCCATGTTTTGGCGTGAATGGGCCGGCTCGACCGGAGTGACACCACGGCCTCACAGAAATTCGGCGTCAAACAACCACAGCGTTGTGTTTGGCCGTGTGAGTGAGTTTGTGAGTTGTGAGATGGTCACCGTATGCCCAATCCTTCTTCCCCTCTCCAATCCCTAATTCTTCGAAAACCTAACCTTCAAAGGGTCAGTAACGAACTTATAACTCCTCTGATGTCCATGGGCAGCGCCGATTGCTTACCATCAGGTAATCTGTAAGCTCGTATGTCGTATTATCACATAAAAAAAGGATTAAAAGTTGTACTTGTTTCAAGTTATAACGGGAGTCTTGTTTATGAGCAACTTGTTACGGCGACGACGTGCAGCTAACTTATGGTCGTTATAATTTTTATGTTGGTTAATATGTTTCCAATTTACATTGGTTCGCCAGAATCGATGTTTTAATTCCCCTGTATAAAACATTTCTTTCTGTGGTTAATGTGTTGATTAGCGCACCCACGATTGTGTAAAGGGTTTTAGTCATAGGATAATTGGTAATATAATGGTATGTATGGATTTTTGTTCCAGATTCCGGCAACAGTTTAAGAAGTTAAGCTCCTTCTACAAGCACGCCAGCAGTCTCCAGTACTACAGGAACCTCCTCACTCTGCCAGTTCTTCCTTCCAATCCACCAAACTTCTTGCAACAGGTAAAATCATCAACCAAATCAATTATGCGCGGTTTCTCAAGGTATACTACTCTGTCAAGAAAGTACCGGGAAAAAGTCAATAATACACAAAATGTTTGTTATTCATCAAAATTAATTTTATCACCTTCAAAGTATGCTCCTTCAGAAACGATACACTTACGCCATCGAATAATCCAATCATCGAAACTTTTTTTAAACGCTGTTTCCGGAATTGAGTTCAGTGCTCGCCGCGAATTCTCCTTTATGTCTTCTAACGATTGAAAACGGGTGCCACGAAGGGGTAATTTGAGTGTGGGAAAAAGAAAGAAGTCGGCTGGAGCCATATCTGGTGAATATGGTGGCTGCTCGATGGTGTTTGTTGAGTGTTTGGACAAAAAATCGTTTACAATGATGGCCTTGTGCGAAGGCGCATTATCGTGATGCAAAATCCAAGAATTTTCTTTCCACATTTCTGGTCTTTTTCGTCGAATTTGTTCTCTTAAACGCCGCATAACGCTCAAATAATATTCTTTATTTACCGTTTGACCTTCGGGCAAGAATTCTGAGTGCACAACACCGCGATAGTCAAAGAAAACAGTCAACATGACTTTGACTTTTGATCGACTTTGACGTGGTTTTTTCGGTTTTGGTTTAGTTGGAAGGCGCCATTCCGAAGCTTGTTGACTAGTTTGCATGTCAAACTCGTAAACCCACGTCTCGTCACCAGTAACAATGCGTTTCATGAATGTTGGGTCGGTATTGACTCGTTCTAGCATGTCCTCAGCGACTTTCAATGCGATTTAGTTTTTGAAGAAAATTCAGGTCTTTTGGGACCACCCGAGCGGCAACACGTTTCATACCCAAATTATTTGTTAAAATGGTACGGATCGACTCGTGAGATACAGAAAATTCGGCGGCCATCTCTCTCAAACTTGAATGAGGATTTTCAGTCACTATTTCCTTCACTTTTGCGATGTTAATGAAATTCTCAATACACACTGGATATCATAAAACTAAAAACAGCACTGTTTTTAATATAAATAACAGATGCAACTCAAATTCCGCGCCAAAATGGAAAACAGTTATGCCAATCTAACAACAACAAAAAAAATTAAAATTCGAATTTGGAACCATAAAAAAAACATTCATTCCCGATACTTTGTTGACTGAATGTAATCTAGACTTAGGTGTAATGAAACCTTCTTCCAAAAATAAATGTTCTTTTTTTAATTCGAACCAGTAGTTTCAAAGATTAACGCGCCTAACTAAACTAGCAAAGAAACAAACTAAAATATGTACTTACATATATTTTTTCCAAGGCAAAAATTTAAGGATTGTAATAACCAATATGTCTAAAACTAATTTAAATATAAAACTAATTTAAATTAAATATAAATATACAATAGGAATAAAATACACAGTATTTAATCATATATGCATATAATAAATATCGGTTATTTTTATATAAAAACAGACATTTATATGTATAGATTTTTAATGTGGTATATATTTGCAGTCTGACTTCGGCACATACGTGACTCCAGTAGTTACCATCCCGGAGCCGCCGCCAGACGAGGTCGATTCCGTTGGATCTCTCATCGACACTTCAGATACTATGAGTCAGGTAATACTTCAATAAAAGACACAAAGGGCATCGCAAATCGGTATGACGTTCAAGGTTTCAAATGAAAACCTATTTTAAATATGTTACTGCAGTCAACGAAAAAACTAGATTCCTTTTTATATAGGAACAATCAACCAGTCAATCAACAACTTAAAAGTTGCTAAAAGTTAATAAGCAATCTTTGATGATACGGAATTAATTATAAAATACTAAACACTGCATCTTTACATAAGTCCCTTTAATATTTGTCTGTCCCTTTTCTGATAATTTTATTAATGGTTTTTATACATAAACAGGCAACAATGGATAATCTTGAAGACTTCGACGCTCGTCCCTCGCCGTCGCCGCAGCCCGACCCTATCGTAGAACGTGACCGACTCATCGACCATTTGCAAAACGAACTCAAAAGGATGAGGTACGTTTATACGAAAAATATGCATTTTATTCATTTCAATAATATACAGAATTAGCTACTCTCGCGCGGTTTAACCTGCTGCTTGACTCCTATTGGTCATAGCATGATGTCGTATAGCCTATTGCCTACCTCGATAAATGGACTAAAGAACACAAAGATTATTCATATTCATTCGAAGTATTAGTTCCGGAGATTATCGCGTTTAAACAAACAAACTCTTCAGCTTTATAATATTATATATACAGAATATATTCATGTTTAAACATTGCTTTGCAATTTATTTTATTTCTAGTTTCTGCCGTCGCCTGTTATACCAGGATGAAAATAGCCTTTATCGTATAACTGACTATATTTATCTATACACCAAATTTCATGTGCTCAACTTAATATTTTTTCATATTGTCTTAGTAAATTGTTCCTAAGAGTATTTAAATTTTCTTACAGGTCCGAAGTTTCACAGTTGGTACAGGAAAGAAATACAATGATAGGATCAATGAGAGAACACTGTTCACGTATTGAGACCCAACTGCATAATGCCAAGGTAACTAGATAACTTTGCTTTTCACACACCAGCTCATCAAAGTACCCTGTACCGTAACATCAGTGTAATACAATTTTAACTTTATTGCAAAGTAATGAGGTTTTTTTTTGAGGGGAAACCATCAACTTATGACTCTCGCCCAGAGTGAGGCGAGAGGGAGTGTCAGACTTTTACTGACTAAAAACCCTCCAGGCCGAGGCTAAAGTACCTTATCACGCTTGACCCGTAAAAAGTAATGAGGTTGAATGTCTATTGTATGTATACAAATACAAATATGAATGATTTTTTTGATGCTCGATCAGTCTCAAGCCGTACTGGGGCTTATATTTCTTTTGGCTGTATAGCTTGTTGGGCTGGTATCTCTAGTTGACAATAAAGTCTTTGTTGAAATATGTAATGTCACGAAATTTTACTTACAGGTAGAATTAGAAGAAGAGAAACAAAAAGCTGAAATATTAGCTGTACAAACACCTGAAATTAAACGTAAGTACTACAATTAAGTGCCGAAGCTACCAAAATATACATATGTATTTGATTTAATGTTCTTTCTGTACTATTAAGTTTTATTAGTGACGAAATTGTCATCACTTTTTTTATGTCGCCAATGAGCAGGATTACCTGATGGTAAGCAATCAGCGCCGCTCATGGACACTCGTAATACAAAATGAGTTACTACAATTGCGTTGCCGGCCTCTTGTGGGTTATTAGGGATTTAAGAAAAGGGTATGTGCTGAGGGGGGGGGAGGATTAAGCTTCCGGTAACCTCACTCACACGGCGAAACACAATGTAATTGCTTCACGATGGTTTTCTACGAGGCCATGTAATCGATTAGCGTAAAATTTAAAATATAACACTCACAATTCCTTTAAAATGTTTGTATAGAACAAAAGTGTTAATATATATATGTTACATATGCTATCTTTTGATTATAGAAAAACTGACGGAAACCGAAGAGAAAGCCAAAGTGACAGATGAGAAATTCCAAAAGTTAAAAGGGGCGTACACGCAGCTCCGGGAAGAACATATTACGTTGATAAGGCAGGTTAGTACTTGTGAAAGTTTATTTAATATTATCATAAATTGCCTTTACAATGGCCACGTATGTTATGTTTCATTATGGCACGAATCTAATTAATAGTTCATTTATTTTTTTATTTTAATGATCCCCAACTAATATTAGTGATAGTAAAAAGAAAAAATGCCTAATTTGAATACCTAAATGGATTAACTACCATTTGTACGGTGCATATTAAATACACTACACAAACGGAAGTTAATAGTAGTAGGATAAGATAGCTAAGAACATTCTGTTATATGTATTTTCATCTAACGCATCTGTCTGAAGATGGTCATGATGACGATAGGTTCCTTAAAGAATAAAACTTCAAAGATCTTGAAACTTCGACTCTTATTATTGTTAAGGTTACATAAGGTTTCGAATGAATACCATAATGACAACACAATAAAGTTGTCTTTCGTGTGCAGAAAGCGGAGGTGGACAAGGTGTCGGCCAGCCTGCGCGCGGCCGCCGCGCAGCATGAGAGCGCCAGGCTACAGCTACAGCAACAACTCAACGACAGGAACAAGTGAGGATACTGTTTACTTAGACATTTTCATAATATACAACTTGCTAATGAAAACTTTGTAGGTGCTATAGAAAGGTAGGCTTTCTATAGAAACTTTTGTGAATAGAAAGTAAACATGTACTTATGAAAAACTCTCATTTCTAAAAGTGCTAAAACTAAAGTTTCCCTGATCCTTCAAGCAATAGGAAACTTTGCGGTAATTCTATTTCACCCACTAGGCTTGCGTAGTGGTACTATTAATCAACTTAAATATTGCACTCTAAATATTTGGTATTTATTTCTTTCTCCATAGAGATGTTGAATTACTCCAACAAAGTGCGTCATCAAGCGAAGAGATTGAAGCTTACAAATCAGAACTTTTAAGTCTAAGAACTGAACTCGAACAGTCCAGACAAAAAGAACTGGAATTAGAAACTTTAAAAGCTACAATGGAAACCTTACAAATAGAACACAACACGGCAACAAAAGAACAAGAAGAAAAACTAACAACGGTCACGAACGAATTGAAAGAAACTACAGAAACTTTAGAAAAAATCAAACAAGAAAAGGAAGAGAGAGAAGTTGAATTGAGTAGAGTAAAAGAAGAGTTGGTGGGACTTCGGGAGAGTAGTGGAGAGGAATATAAAAAGGTAGTAGAAGAGAAGGAAGCTGCGCTGAAACAGGTAGCGGAGTTACAACAACAGCATTTACAAGAGAAAGAGGTCAGTATTGTAAATATTATACATACGCATGTAGTTTGTATAGGAGTGTAGATACGTAGTTGCTTGCTAGTGAGGTACTTGTCTGCATGAATTTTTCATGTCTTAACCTGTAACGTAGATAATCCAACTAACCAAAATGTCTGTTACGCATCCCTTTAACTTTACTGTTTAACACCGCGTATCTCTTAGTCAAATTGTAAGAAAACTAATCTAATAAGTCCTAACCAATAACAACCAATTGATGTTCGTTTGATTTTAATAGGAAATAAGAGAATTAAATAATGAATGCGAAAAATTAAGAGTTGAGATGGCAACTAAAAATCTGGAGTTCGATAACAGTATTAGTGAAAAAGAATCTAAAATTAAGGTAAGTTTAGATCAACTCGAAGAGTTGCGTGCCCAGTTAGATAATACTAAAACTGATTACGAATGTAAAATTAATGACAATGCCTCTGAGATGTCTAAACTTCAACAAAGAATTGATGAGCTAGTTCAGTACCAAGTCGCGGCTGAAACTCTAAAAGCAGAACTGGCTAAAGATGGAAACGAACTAAGTATAAAAGTAAAAGAACTATTACAAGAAAAAGACGAGATGCAATCTAGTCTTCAAGAAAAACTAACAGAAATTTCAAGTCTTGAAACCAAATTAAAAGAATTAGAGGACAGTAAGAATCAAGAGGTAATGAAACTAAAAGAAGAAATTCAGAAAACTATTGATGAAAAAAATACCAAATTAGAACGTCTACAAGCCGCGCTTGATGAGAAATCAGAGTTTGGACAAAGACAACTATCTGAATCCGAAAACTTATCTAAAAATATTCTTGAACTCGAAGCTACTATTAGAGAAACTAACGTTCAATTACAGGAACAAAAGGCGTCATACGAAAATCAACTGAAAGATTGTAACTGTGAAATAACAATTCTAAAAGAAAAGCTCCAAACAGTTACTGAAAGCAAGGATGAAATCATTGCCAACTTGAAGGGGATGGTAGCTGAGAAAGACGGACGGGTTATAGCACTGAACGTTGAAGCTACTCAGTTGGCTGACGAGAACACAAGACTCAAGGATGAGTTAAACGAAACACAGGCAGAGTTAGAAATAGGTAGGAATGAGTTTTTGTCGTTGAGAGAGGAACATGAAAAAATCGTTAATACGAATGAAAGCAATTTAACAATGAAAAATCAAGAACTAAGAGACTTGCACGACAAAATTAATGAACTTACTGCGCAGAAAACGGAATTGGAACAAGAGAAAGAAAAAATATCAAATGATATGAACTTGGAAAAAGAGGTTTGTGTTACGCATTTATGTGTGGTTTTATGTGACGTCCCAAAAGTTAATTTGTGCCCTAATCTATTATGTCTTTAAATAGGTATTAGAAAGCAAAATATTGGAACTGACGGTAGCACACGATAACTTGATGAAAGCTCATGAAGAGGAGAAATTTGAGAAAGAAGCTCAATTGACTGAACTGAACAATGAAATGACTAATTTGAAATCAGAGTATGAACAATTCAAAGATGAAAAAGAAAACGAAATCCAATCATTGAACGATAAAATACAAAGCCAAGAAACTAGTTTCAATGAACAAATTGCTCTGAAAGACGCTACTATAGCGGAGGCTGAAGCGAACATACAAAAACTGAAGGATGACTTTGAAGAATTGCAGCAGCAAAAGATGAAAGAGAAGGAAGATATGGATAATGTAATGTCTGAGAAAGAACGCGAGAGACAGGTTAGGAACACAATGCCGTTGAGTGGAATGTGTGTCGATATCACTGCGTTTTTTGGTGGACACCTAGTTTATGTGGTGGCGGGTCATTCGTGTGTGTTTGTTGTAGTTTACTGTGTAACCTACTAGGCTTAGGAATAAAGTGTCGAATAGGTTTTACGGTTTTGTGGTTGTGGTCATTTCTCATGTTCTACTTACTCAGCAAAATGCAATTTTGAGTTGATTTCAGTAGTAGTTTAGTTTTCTTGAAACACGTATCTTGTACTAGTTTGTTCACTATTTTCTTTGGCTGTACTATAAGCATGTAACGATATCTAAATTGCATGTTTTCTTTCCTCTATATCTACGCAACCTGCCGCGCTGTGCATGGATTCCTTTCGGACTGCGCTCTTGGACTCGCTTGGAACCTTGGAACTTACTTCTTCTATGGTGGTATAGTTGTTGGAGACTAGGCTAGGCCACGCCGAGAGTAAGAGATTGAATGCCGAGTGTGAATTACAGGATTTGTTGCAACATAATACTGTGCTCGAAGCCGACTTGGCGGCTGTGAAAAGACAGCTGGAGGAGGCGCAGAAGGCGTTGCAAAACCGTCAGTATACATTCCAATTCTTTGTATAACTTGTATAGTTACGCTTCTTCTCGCTTATTCCTTTCCTATTATCCGTATCACGAGTACATCGGTCAGATTATCTTGAATATCAGTGTTTTGCTGTTTTAAAAAGTCTTTATGAGGCAAAGACTTAATATATTGCTCTTTCTACTTCCTATTCTCTGTGTCATATGTATTTGAATAGTAATAATAATTACGTTGGGCGTACAGAGACAACGCGGCTAGTAACATGCGCGGGTGAAGTAGCTCTCGAGGTCGCCAATGGAGCGCTGGAGTCATTCGAGAATGGACAAGCGGGCGATACAGTGACCGCTGCCGCTGATCTAGCTGCTAAAGCCTTAGACGAACTGTCCAGGCACACTGAAGTAAGTACCACGTACGTTGTCTGTGTTTATAATATCTTTTCCAATATTATTGGCTATACGTGGTCTAAAAATGTTGAGTGTAAGATTTGGAGAATTCTCAAGCATTTTTCTTTACTTTTCTTATGGGACAATCCATCTACACAGTAGATACAACCATAAATAATAAACAGAAAAACTGAAGTTCGGAGCGGCCTAGTTAAAAACATCATTGTTTTTAAATTTAGTACACTGTAATACTACAATATATTTGTATGTTCTCTAGGTGTCCGGTAACGAGGAGTCGGTACTCAAGTCTGCGATGTTCGCAGCACACAACACGGCGCAGCTGTCTGCCTACGTCGCTGACGTGACTAACGTATCCACTGATATAGCTCTAGCTGAAAGTAAGTGTAATTGTATGCATTGTAATGTTGCCAGAAAACAAAAAGTTATTTCTACTAATTCGAAATTCTACTCAAAGTCCTAAGTCATAAACGTATTTTTAAAGATTAAGTGTTATTCAGTCTGCCCTCGAGTGTAGCTTAAGTACTTGAAAACTTTTAAGTAAGTAATTTAAATTTTGATAAAGTCTTTTAACTTAAAATACTTTATCAAAATCTAAAATTATTTTATGAAATTTAATTTAAATTTGGTATATTTTTACTTGTATTATTGTACCGAGTTTCATTAAAATCGGTTTAGCATAGGTAAGATTCCACGACTTTGTACTTTTGTAGAAATGTGTGCCGAGTACCTATAGTAAGTAGTAATATTTCTTGTCTTCTAGAACTAAATAACGAATGCCGTTCAATGTTGATGGCGACGAAGGAATGCTTGGAATCGATCAAGGGTGGTAGTATAGCGAGCTCGCATTGCTCCGACGCGCGGAGCCGCGTGCGCAGCTTGATGACGTCAGCCGCGGCCGCCGACCGACTCAACAGCGGCGCCAGGAGTGTCGACGACGAACTGGCTGACATGGACAGAGCTATCGAGGAAGCCGCCTCACAGATTGAGGTCAGTCAGATGTTTTATTATCAGTCTTTAGGATTCAACTCCTTTCTCATATTTTTTTCATATCCATATGTTAAATTATTTAGTCGACAAGTAAATAATTGGTAATTAAGGTAAATTTCCACTTTAATTTTAATTGCCCTTTAAACAAATTCTTATAATAATGGCAACAATAATTGACAGTTTTCGTGAGATCAGTGTCCGCAATTCTTACTTATCAAACGAAAGAACGAAGAGACATTCTAAATAAAAAAATACTAGCCTTTGCTCATACAGAAGTTTTATCCATTCCCACAAATATAAACTTCCTTAGTTACTATGCTTAATGTGTCTACGAATTTCTCTCTTTATTCCACCTATAATACATTTCCTCCATCACCCATTGCTTTAAAGGAGCATACATGTGCCATTCGCTTCGGTTTTGTAATTTTGTACATCTCTAAAATCCCTTCACAATCCACAGAACATGTTAGCAGCGACCCGCGCCGGCGGTTCAGGGGTCAAGCTCGAAGTCAACGGCAAGATCCTGGACGCGTGCACCACTTTAATGGGAGCTGTGAAGATCCTTGTACAGGATGCTCGCAAACTGCAGAATGAACTTGGAGACCCCAAGACTAGGCAGAAAATGTACAGAAAGAACCCTCAGTGGTCTGAAGGGTTGATTTCAGCGGCTAAAGCTGTTGTATTCGCTGCTAAACTGCTAGTGTATGTATTTTCACTTGTATGCTTAATTTTCTATCCTTTTTGTAGTTTTTTTTATAATCCTAAGTGACGGATGTTTCAGATTTTTTTTATATCTGCTAAAAGTATTCAAAAATTTGTTTTATAACAAGATGTGGCTTAGGGATTCAAAGCTCAAAATGACGACACGATATACAAATCAACAATAAGGGCCTTAGAATTTGTCATATGATCGCCTTGGTTACTAAGGTATCTATGGCTACGTAGGGAAATTTAGTTTCGAGACATATGTCTAAGTCACTGTCACTTGGAATTTTAGCGCGAAATTAAGATTAGAACTAAATGAGTGAAATTTTATGAAAAAGATACAAAGATAGTGGCGCATAACAAGACATGATATTATATTTTAAAAGATACCTCATTCAATATTCATCTTTCCATAAAATGTTCGACTGTACATGCAACATTTCAAGATAAAGACTACTGGAGGTAACTAACAACGACGCTTCCTATTATTGATGATTGGATTATTAGGCGCTCGTAATCACAACTCTTAGTGAATCAATTCCATTCTTTATTCGACTATTACTTTCTTAATCTTCCTACTTGTTTGGTAGTTCCTTCTACTTCTACTTATTAGTTTCTATTAGGTAGTTCTGAGTGCCTTATATGAGTTTGCACGTAAAGTAAAGAACTTTTACCGCGTTAAGCATTAATAAAAAGCAAATTCGGTATGGGTAATAAACTAATTGTAAACATCTTGGCATGTTTTTTTATTTAAAAGTGTAAAAATTGTAAGAATAAATGTTTAGAATCAGGTAAGTTACCTAAGTTGATGTTAGCTCATTAGTTTAATTTAAATAAGCTTTTTATCAATTTTATACTCTGTCTCTCTAATATAAAACACATACCAAGATTGTTTACCTTTAGTAAACTACCTAAACAGATAGACCATAGCCTCTTTTATTATCAGGTAAGTCAAACTAGATTTATGCAAGAAAGAAACAAAAAATGCAATGCTAATAAAATAGCTGGTTTGTCCCTTTCGCAACCTCCAATAGACACAAACAAATGTAAATGTAGGATTTTTACAAGTTTATAGATTTGTTTGAATCTAGTCTACTAATCATTAAGCGGACACCAGTATGCTCTCACACTTACTCCCTTTTATATATTAAATGAAAGAATTTATGAACTTGTTTACAAAATATATTTTATCACGATTATGTTTTCGATAGGCTAGTATCAAATTACGTTGATAAATGGTAAGTTGATTTGTAATGGCAATTTATTATTATTTTGTCGTTTGACTCCGTAATGCGATATGCTAACTCAGAATTAGTTTTCAATGTTTATTGTTAAAGTATATACTGTATATACAATTGGACATTTGATTTAGTAAAAAAAAACCTTGTGACACGAAAACTTGTGACATGAAATTAAATATTACTTCATTTTCGTAATGTTCTTGCATTTTATGTTTGCTATTTGACGCAAAAAACGCATGACGTCACATATCAAACAATACAATTTGACAGTTTCTAAAAGTATTTTAACTGTAACATGCCAAAAATCCAATTGTATTAACACGTCAATGTTTAAAAGTACAAAAATTACTGGTCTGAGTAATATGTCTGTAAATTTTTCTACCAACGATAGAATTTTGATATCGCAGATAACGATCTTTAACCTTTCGTCTGTCGATATATGAGATACAATAGAAAACACATTGTGTCTCGCATAGATCTGAGCTCCAGATATCGCCGGTTAATTACGAAATCTATCGATCTAACCTATGTATATCATATAATAACGCGGGTATTAACGTGAAAAATGATTATTTAAATACCTTGTTAGGCTTGACGTTTACTTCCCAAGGTATTACAAATAATTATTTTTCGCGTAAATACCTGCGTAATTATATGTTGTAAACACGAAAACGAATTTATCTAGTAAAAGATTTGTCGTAATGGAAGTATGTGTATTGGAACAGGACGTCGGCGGACGAGGCAGTGGGTGCGTCGGGGCAGGTGGAGGGCGTGTCGGCCGCGGCGCACGAGGTGGCGGGCAGCACGGCGCAGCTGGTGGCGGCGTCCCGCGCGCGCGCCCCGCCCGACTCGCCCGCGCTCGCGCGACTCACGCAGGCCAGCCGCGCCGTCGCAGCCGCCACCGGGGCACTCGTCGCCGCCGTCAAGGCTGGCTCGGCACTCGTACTCGAACAAGGTATTACAAATACACCCACCAAAAGCTATCTTGAGGTATTTTTTTTAAATTTCAGACCCATGGAGTGGGACCCCCCTTGGTGAGATGTCTCATCTCCATATAATGATATAATGGTCTCATCTCCACCAACAAAAAAGTTGATTTATGCTTTCTTTGACGACGCGTAGCGTTTCGCGCGCGCCCATTAGAACTAATAGACCACAGATGGGGACCTAACAAAGCAGTAATAGATTCGAGGTGGTTTTTAGTCAGTAAAAGTCTGACACTCCCTCATCCTTGGTGATGATGATTGTCCCCGTTCAAAAAATGATATATGATAATTTTCCCCCTCAAAAAAACTACATAAACTTATATTTACGTTTTTGTCAAACAGAGGCACTAGACACGTCTTCCTTATCGCTGACGGCTACGCGTCGCCTTGAGATGGAGAGTAAGGTGCGTTCCCTCAAGCTGGAGACTGCGCTCGACGCGGAACGAGCTCGACTAGCCGCACTACGCAAGAGGCATTACCAACTCGCGCAACTAGAAGAGGTTTGTATTACATATAACTAAACTATTTTGAACTCTTTTTTTCCCGTGATACGGTTGCAAACGAGCATTCATTTTATCTGATGGTAAGCAATCAGCATTGCCTATAGACACCCGCAATATCAGAGGAGTTATCGCAGGTGCGCTGCCGGCCCGGGGATAACAGGTTAGGGAATTTAAAAATGGGAAGAGGTGAATTAGGCCTCTGGTTACCTCACTCACACGGCGAAATACAACGCTGCCGAGCCGACCCACTCGTGCCGAAGTTTAGCTCTCTCACGCTTGAAATCTATGATATACAAACACTAAATGATATGATGATAATAGATACCATTATTTATTTTACTTATTCTACATGACAGCTATGATTTTATCTCAATTCGGTAATTTCCAACTAGACAAATTTAATACTTTTATTGAAATGTCAAAAACTATACTTTCAATGAAATTTGTATGAGATCGCAACATGAACATATTACTTCTTAATGTGTTAGGTCAAACAGTATAGTTATTTTTAAATATTTAACTGGAAAATTTAAAATGAAATGTATCGTCAATTCAATGTATGAAAGTATATGTTGATAATTTATTGTACTGAAAAGTCAATATTATTTTTGACCTACCAAATTCTTGCAACTTATATTGCAATACTGCATTTAAATCCTACACTTATATTGTTAATATCTTTAACGACTGAAATACTGCAGTAAACAACAACACATACATACTGATATCTACAGGAAGTGATAATTATAATAATTTTAGCTACATACGAAACATACGTATTATTATGTACAAGTTTCCTTTTATCATTATCAACAATATATTCTTTTGCAGAATGGAAACGTGGAAAACGGCAAGGATTGATCGTTCCCTCAAGGCTACAAGTGAAAACGACCAACCACTGCTACTACGAGTTTTATGAAACGTTGAGGTCCCTGTTAATTATTTTTGAAGACATTTTGTACTTGCATTTTTATATACATTATATTATACAACGAATTTTTTACATCATGCTTGCCGATTGCTCATTGTAGTCAGTTTATTGTGACCGATGAGGGAATGTCTTCCCCGTGGATGACAATCAGTAATAATAATAATTATACAATTTACACTGTAACTAATAGCATTTTAATCAAATAAATCACTATTAGGCGCTTATTAGCCGATTATTACCTACATAATAACTAATAATAAATGTCACAATAATGTCTATGCATACGTATTTGGGTATATCTAAGAATACGTGGGTGAATAAGAATCGTTTCTTTTTTGAAGTAAATCGAAGAAAATTGTCAAAAATCGTGACAGGTCATTTTCCATATTTGCTTTGCTTAGTACAGCAGTTCGCAGCGTGATATAATTTTCCACTTTTTTACCTAATTTATAGTGCACGTTCGTTCTTAATATAACCGAGTTTCAAAGGCAAATAAATCAAAATGGCAGAATAAATCAAAATGGCACGAAGACATACTTGCTCAAAAATCAATCTTAAAGTCATCGTTTTACGGTTGATTACTCTAAAACGTCGCCCAATTGCTAATAGACATCCATGATTGATAACAATTAAGCGTATTCAACAGTAGGTAATGTAGAAATGATAGGTTGTAGTATGTAATACCCTAGCGTGTTTAGAGAAGGACTGAGGGCGCGTTAGGCTCGACAAGCCTTTAAACTGTACTGATCCCCACGATGGTTGAGCCTGCATAATCCCGAGACTTTAAGCTTTAAGCAACAAGACTAAGGGTCACATTATCTGGATAAGCTCTATCTACCAGGAATAAGGCTCACATTTGTTTGATACAAGTGAATCTAGCAAGTTATTAACTGGAACTTATCTATTGATGGCGTAAAAATGTGAATTGTCTATGTACCTTTATGTATAGATGTTTTATTATTACTAATTTAATTGTTAATTTACACAATCGTGTTATGAGACGCTCATTGTTTTTACGAGTAGGCGCGTGTCATCTACACCGATAGCCGATACTATTTCAATAAGTACCTACGTAAGTGTGTGATCACTATAATATGAAGCCCCTAGGATATCAAACTAATATTAGCTGTTATTGTAAGTGTAATTTCATATAAATATACTATTGAATGGATACCTACGTTCAGAGAATCGCCTGCACGGCTCGTTTGTTATTTATTCCTTACGTTTTACATTTACTAATAAAATATACACATGTGACACAAATAGCTGATTCGTTTTATTTCTAAACCAGTTCCAAGTCAATATCAAGTAAGAAGGTCAGTCTATATTCAGTTAATCAATGAAAGGCGTAAATAAATTATTGCCTGCTGACGATAAAGGCTTGTACATACTCGCGACAGAAAGCGCAAAGGAAAAAATACAATGTGAATAGAATAGTATTGTAATGTGATCTTGTGATTGCGTGGCAAGCTGTTGTGGCAATGGGCAGGCCACATCGCTCGAAGAAATGAGGGCAGATAGGCCAGAAAAGTGATCGGCGACCACAGTCAGTCTGCTCTTCATATAGGTATATTATATGTTCTGCGCCTCCATCTAGATACTGAAGCAAAGGATGAAATTGGCGAGTTTTTGTTTGACATGTAGGACTGAGGTCTTTGTTCAGTAAGTAGTGGAGGTCTACCGTATCAAAAGTACGTGTCGCGGGTTCGATTCCCGCACGGGTCAACACTTTGTGTGATGCACAAATTGTTGTTTCGGGTCTGGGTGTGATGTTGTGTAAGTGGAGTTGTATGTTTGTAAACGCCCCCACGACACAGGAGAAAAAACTAGGGTGGGACAGAGTTTAAAAAAAATGAAAGTAAAAAAATTATTTCACTAAGGTTTTAATAGAAAGCCTTATCAAATGATCGTATCTAGTGATCCATATTTGCGAATTTTTTCTTGTGAATCGTGTGAATCAGCCCTATATCACTTAACACTGACACTAACAAGGACAATGTTAAATGAATTAAGATCGCAGTTTATTTTATGTCGCCGTTTATCTTGAAGCTCCGTTGGAATCTAACTAACGTGGAGGAGTTCATAATTACTGAGTTTAACTATATGAAGTACGCATATTGTTCGTAATAAAATAATATCGTCATAACAAAAATCGAAACGTAAGTGTTATCAGATTAGGTACTTAAAGATAGAGCCACCTTTATATAGTGTGTCCGTTACCCAGGCCAGATGTTGTCGACAATGGTCATTTGACTCCTATAGATAATTAGTTGTGCGGCTTCTGTAATTGTTGCGCACATTTTTAAATTTGTTGCGCTTATAGTTTTTTAATTATTTCACAAAAACATTTCCTGCTGGCGTAACGTTACCACAGCCAGACCTTTTTCATTCTAATGGGAATATTTAAATAAATATTAGCTATAAAATTAGTTGTCTAGATAAAGTAAATGTTGTGCCTTATTTTGTATTTGTTCTTTCTTCGGTTGCGAAGTTATTAGAGATTTTGCTGCGGTAACGTTTTTGGTTTTGCTAGATCTTTGAAATGGTTAAGCGGATTCTTATCATATTTTGTACACGACTTCCGAGGACTTAGTTTAAATTTGTTGTGCAATAACAAAACCAAAATAATGCATATTTTAAAAGTTTTTTCATTAAATAGAAAAACACTTCAATTGGCCCCAGCACTCTTAATAAGAAGTCTAAAGACTTACTTTAAATGTAATTTTAAAGCTTGTAACTGCCTTCAAATGTATGTGAAGTTTCATTAGTATCCCGTAAGTATTTAACAAGTTATGATGATATTCAGTTCTTCACGAGCACGGTCTTAATGCACGCGGTGTTATTTGGCCACTGGATTGGATATATGAAGTGAATATTATGTCAATGATTAGTTGTTTAGATCAGTTGTATATAAGTAAAATTTCAGCTCAATACATCGGATAATTAATGAGATAATACTATTAAAGTCATTCGGAAGTAAATGACCGTGGTAATCCGACCAAGTTTAGGTGGTTACGAAAAAGCGAAAACGCAGAACATTGTACTATCTTTTGAAATGTTTAGTATAATACACCTTACAATTTTGGTACAGACGCGTACACTGGTAATTACCTATATAATAATAATATAAAAGAAAACATTATCTTCCAGTTCCACAAAATTATCAAAAATCACCGCTAGAGCATGCCGTTCGGTAGGACTCAGGAGGAGTGGGGTGAAGGGGTAAAACATTGTTTGCATAACGCACTCAGTATTGCCAGAAGGTTACTTTTAGATGATTTTTGAACTGCATTTTGAAATAGAAATGACAAGGACGGGTGATGTTTAATCGGTTGCTAAGCAACACAAGTTTTTATAAGTAAGGGAGTAAAAGTTCAATTGAAATGATTATTTTACCTTTCAATAAAAATTCTTGAATAATCATGTAGTTTTTTTTTAAACTTTTGTACATGTCTGTACTAAATTTATAACACTATCCTACATATTTTAGAAGGTACCATAATGTTCTGCGTTTTCGCTTTTTCGTAACCACCTAAACTTGGTCGGATTACCACGGTCATTCACTTCCTAATGACTCTAATAGTATTATCTCATTAATTATCCAATGTATTGAGCTGAAATTTTACTGATATACAACTGATCTAAACAACTAATCATTGACATAAGATTCAGTTCATATATCCAATCCAGTGGCCAAATAACACCGCGTGCATTAAGACCGTGCTCGTGAAGAACTGAATATCATCATAACTTGTTAAATACTTACGGGATACTAATGAAACTTCACATACATTTGAAGGCAGTTACAAGCTTTAAAATTACGTTTAAAGTAAGTCTTTAGACTTCTTATTGAGAGTGCTGGGGCCAATTGAAGTGTTTTTCTATTTAATGAAAAAACCTTTAAAATATGCATATTTTGGTTTTGTTATTGCACAACAAATTTAAACTAAGTCCTGGGAAGTCGTGTACAAAATATGATAAGAATCCGCTTAACCATTTCAAAGATCTAGCAAAACCAAAAACGTTACCGCAGCAAAATCTCTAATAACTTCGCAACCGAAGAAAGAACAAATACAAAATAAGGCACAACATTTACTTTATCTAGACAACTAATTTTATAGCTAATATTTATTTAAATATTCCCATTAGAAAGAAAAAGGTCTGGCTGTGGTAACGTTACGCCAGCAGGAAATGTTTTTGTGAAATAATTAAAAAACTATAAGCGCAACAAATTTAAAAATGTGCGCAACAATTACAGAAGCCGCACAACTAATTATCTATAAGATTCAAATGACCATTGTCGACAACATCTGGCCTGGGTAACGGACACTTATATAGTATCACTTTATCCTGTCGAAAATGATAGGAGAGTGTAATAAAACAAAGTATCTGCTTCCACATAATTCCATATATTCGCTGTATATTATCTAATACTGCTATAAACTAAACACAAAAAGCATGGCAACACGTCGATTACAGTTTCATAAAATACTTCCTGCAATAGGCTTGTGACAACACAGATACAAAATAGAATAAAATTAATTATACCACAAATAAAATAAAACAGATTTACCCAACACAAGGAGAATACTTTAGTTCATGGAATGGTAGTTGCAACATTTTTGCACTTAAATACAATAACATACAAATAAAATTATAATAAAAAGAGAGAAGAATCAAAATGAGATTAAGCATAATCCAACAATGTGTTAAACAAAACAATCCTACACATAGATCGCACACATCACTAACCAGTGGCACTTTGTATTTGTGCAATGTTACATACTATCATTAATTATATACTCAATACAATGATGCTTAAGTACAGAAAAATACGCGAGATATTAAAATTAGGCCAATTATGTCGATGATTCAATCATAACCTCTATCATACAACTGTTAAACTACATTTTGGTGCAAGAAGCCATTATCCATTCACTGTGTGAAATACATCTGTTATCAAAATCTTAAGACGATGGTAAAACCTTCGAAAATTTAGCACCACATGTTGGCTTCTCACTATATTTAAATATTGAATTCGATTTGCACATAATATACAAACGCGAATAATACAACCTTGGTCATTTCATGGCAATGTTTAAAAATAAATGAGCAGATTTTGAGTAGAATTAGTTGATTTTGATTCAGTTCAATAGATTGATTGTGATACAGACGTGTAGAATTGACGAAGTTGCATTCGATTCTGCTGATATTCACTTAACAGGACACAATACTTATATATAAATATAGTGTACATATAGAGTAATAGTAATACAATTATAGAAAGTAAAAATACAACATGCGTAACACACATCAATATGGCGAGAGACGACAGGTAAGATATGACACTACAGAGAGATTTAGGGAGCAAGTGGACCTTGCAAATGATATTCAAGAATTTGAGGTAAGAGTGGCAGAGGGATCAGTTTACAGTGGGGGCTCATCCCACTTGACGTGCTTCTCAGGCGTGAGGTGGACAATACGGACATGGACAGCTTGGTTCTTCTCAAACTTGGGGGGAATTGGACAGAGTCGGTATATTACTTCATCACCAGGCAATGGAACATATTCACCTTCAATACTGTAAAACAAAAGATCGTATAACATAGCAGCTTCTCACCAAATTCAAATCTTATCTATAAGGTGTTGTTTAATTATGTTATGTAAGTAATGTGCACAACAAAAATGTCTGCTATTATAATCATGAAACATATTTCATAGTGTTGTACAAACAAAAAGAATATTTGTAACACCAGTTAGATTAAACCTTGGAAAAATTTTTTTCTAATGTAGACTCATATCAACAACAAAGACAAACAAAGAACACCTACATTTGACCTCTAAATGTGCTAAATAAAACAAACTGCCTAAATGTATAAAACAATATTTTATCTGTTATCAACTACAATACTGGTTGGTAACTAAAGTCAAACAAAAAATGTGTGAGTAATATTAATTGTATTCAAAACTTCTTCCTGAAGCATGTTGTTTATGTTTCAAGAGCCAATTTTTTTTCTATTTCCTTCATTCATCATGCTCATAAAGAATGTCTGGTTTTGAGAAACCATTATTTGTTAAGTCATGTAGGATGAACTATTTAAATTTATTATGGTTTCTTACTGCAGTTTGAGATTTAAAAAACTTTTAAAAATCTGAGTTATGTTAATTACTTAACATTGAACATTTATAACAGACTCTTATAGGCAGACAAATAAAACAAAGAGATACCTACAGTAGACCAAAACATTTACTAAATAAGTCTACGTAGAAATAAACAAGGTTACAAAGAAAAAGATACTCACTCGGAGATGTGGACAAATATATCTTCGCCACCTCTTTCTGGGGTAACAAATCCATGTCCTTTTGCTCGGCAGAAAGACTTGATTTTTCCACTTTCTATAGGATTTCCTAAGGCTCTTTCTGACCTATAATAAAATAGAAATTACTAATCATAATCTTCTAAAGTTATGCATAATTTTTAAAATATGTAGGTATCGAAAAGTGACACAGAAACTTACGTCGACGCTGTTCGGTTCCGCCGCGTAATTATAGGACTCGGCAATTGTAGATGTGTGTTTGATTTATTAGGCGAATCATCACTGTTAAACCCATAATCATTAGACATGATTACAGATCACAATACTGTTTTCCAGAAATAAATTTGAAAATTATAAACAAGAGGAACTTCGCAAGAAGGAAGCAAAACAAAATGTCAGTCGCTTAGTGAAATGTCAAGAATGTCAGTGATATGCCCAAAAAGAAAACTGTCAAAGATTCTTAACGTTCAGAAATTAAAAGCAACAACATTTTTATTATAAGTTATATTATTTTACTAAGGTTGTTTATCCTGGCAAAACTGAGCTCAAGATCCCATTTCAATCAGTCAGGATTTTAAACAGAAATAGTTTAACTGTTCATAATCTTATTTTATGGCTCAGGCGTAGTGGGAGCAAGTCTATTGATGGTGCCTATGGATACCCACCTACAACTAAGGAGTTAAACCATTTGTTTTGCTATACGTAGATAAACTGGAAATAGACAAACATATACATTTACACAAAAAAAATGTGTAGCAAGGTGTCTATCCCCGGGCACGCTCTTATAGCAGTAGTAAGACTCCTCCTCGAGGTTTGGCTTAGTGGCTTAAAAGATGCCACGGCGTCCTCACCTTCCGCCTGACGCATCCTGACCTTTTTCTGATCCGGCGGAGAAAACGCCCGAGTGTCGTCATTGTGAGGACCACCCTGAAGTCACGGTATGCCCTGCTTGAGCTGAGCACCGCCGTGACCTCAGGGAAGCGGCAGCGACCTCTCACGCCCGGCCTTAGTCGAGGCCATGGTACGTAGCGAGAGGAACTGGGAAGCCATTTCCTCTTTCTGTGAAGCAGTTATACTCATGAAGAAGGAGGTGGACCGCCTGAGGGAGCTATCCTCTTCCTCACGCCCCAGTCGCCGCAGTAGGAAATATTCCGGTCACCGTTAGCCACCACAGACGACGCCTTATAGGGCTGATGTTCAGCCAGGGTTGCGGGACAAGCGCAATGAGGCACCGCGGCCTCGGCCCAGAGAAGGAGGAGGAACGGGGGGGTTTTAAGTCGTAAGAGTCTGGCACTATCTCCCGCACGACCCTGGGCGGGAAAAGTCCTTTGATGATTTTCCCCTCACGTAAAAGGGGTCCAACTGAGTATATGTATTGTATGCTGTGATACAAGTGGATTGTCGACTTTTTAGTTTTTGTGAATTTGGAGGGATAGTAATCATGATGTTAAATAATCCTGGCATTATGGGCTGAAGAAAAAAAAATACAGACCTACTCTAACAACCTCCAAAGTACCTACCTACGTGTGTAACCTATAGGTAAGTTTTAAGATTTTCTGTGGGTCTTAGAGATAGCGCGTAATTTGTAATTGTGACCGTGCCGAGGATGGGTCGGCGACCTCTCATACTTATAGCGGCGCCAAGTTTCCTCGTTGAAGTTTGGCTAAAATAACGCCTCGGTGACCTTAACTTCCAGCTGATGCAGAAGGTTTATTTATTACACTCTGGAGGTTTCCGTAGTAACTGTTATGGAACTTACCGGTTTTGACTGGCACTACCGTGTCGTATCTATATAAGTAAGGGAATAGGTCGGCGATGGCAACCTCTCGCTTCCAACATTAAGATCTCGTTTACGTACATGCAGGGCGTTGCGCGGCGCGTATTTCGTTTGTCGTACATTACAGCATCAAATCGTGTGCCGTGGCCGTGCAAAAACAAACATATGAACATCACGAGCAATGTATGACGAACCACACATCGCACCGCTTAAACGTAAACGAGGTTATGGTGCCAGGCAAGGGAATAAGAAAGCCGCATTCTTCTTTTGTGAAGCAGTTTCAGGAGGAAATTAACTTCCTCTTGCTCCAGCTGCCGCGGAAGACCCTCTGAGCCGCTATTTCGCCTCTCGCTCCGGGGTTACTTCCAACCAGCATACCGAGAACAAGTTCAGCACAGGTTCTGACTTTCGATCATACTTCCACTCAAAAAGTAGGCAGTACCTACCTACTTTTAAAGTTCTTTGGGAGAAGGTACCTACTGCCTACCTTTACCCGACTGCTGCGGGCCTATCCGCCTTGAGCAAGCGTGGTGGATAAAGGTCATACAATATTCGTGTGAGGAGAGGCCTCTTAGCAGTCGACACACAAAATGTACAGGCGGGGCGGGTAATGTGATATTTAGTGCCAAGTACCTACATAGGTATCTACTTTTGTTTTTTTAGGATAGGGCAAAATGTTACAAACTGCCCCACCGTAGGTACGCCCCTGCGTGACTGTGTGAGTCTTTTGTTTGGAGAAAATGGGTGGTAGGTATGTTTTATTCTTAGCTCTTATATTATAGGGCGTGTTGGAATAACAAAAATCAATCTACTCATTATTCTCACGCCACTATTATAAGTGCCTTAAGTGGCCAGCTAACCCTCACTGAGATGTTTGCATCTCGCCCTCATTCGGTTCTGCTAACGCCTTCAGGCAACACACACCTCCTAAAGTAAAATAATAAATTCCACCTCTGCTATTTGATAAATAAACTTAGTTTTATTTCATCAACCCAAACCTAACAGCATAAATACCTGTGAGTAATAAAAAAGCAAAACAAGAGAGCCCTCTATTTAGTTTTTATTTCAAACTTCTACTGTACATTGGTTTATGTGTTATTGCGTTATGTCACATTTCTTTTTTAATATTTAAATACACATTTTAATCGAAAAAATGGTAAGCAAAGATCCATACCTAGGTACACGTCAAACTTGAACGAGAATATAATAATAATAATCTACATTATAGGTTTACTACAGCCAATATTAATATTTTTTTATCACAATGTTCACTCATAATGTTATCACAAACATCAACCTTAATTTTAAAATGATTTATTTTATTTTCACATGGTTCAAATGAGTTAACTGTAGGTATGTAATGGATTGATTTTCAATTTCAACATTTATTTTTAAAATAAACTGTACTTATTTATTAAAAATGTTCCCGATACTTTACTATCGTTATGAAGAGAGAGTCGAGTCGAGACTAGCAGGATAATCTTGCGGAACAAGCGCAAGAAGGTGGCGCCTCAGCCTAAAGAAGAAGAATGAACGGGGGTTTTAAGTCAGTAATAGTCTGACACTTTCTCTCGCCTCACCCCGTGCGAGAAAAGTATTTTAAAGACCCCTCACAAATAAAGAGCCGGATTATATCTTTATTTTTTTAGTTACCCCAATATCCAAAGCGTTGTGTGTTGCTCAATCTTAAAAATAATATGAATCTAACACTTGTTTACATTACATAATTATGTAGGTATATGAATAACAACAACTATTTATTTTTCAATTATCATATTAGGGCAAATCCTTTGTTCTGCCGGCAGTGGTAACTTGATCCTTGGTATCGATATTCCTTCCCAGTCGCCCTGAAAAATAGGTTATGTTTTAATAAATAGTTATAGAAACATTTTCTTTTTAATTTATCTCCTAGGTGTACCATCCGCATATGCAAACCTAAACGAAAACAAACAGCACAAGCATCTGTAACAACTATGAGTGGTTCACAAAAAGTTTTAGGTAGATTATGTAGGTAGCTCTAGTAAGGATAGGAAAGGATTAGGTATAGGGGTCGGATAGGTCCTATTCCTGTATAACTAAAAATACAGTTGATCAGAAACAACTAGCAGAATCAGGAACCGTTTCTTGCCTACTAAACCAAATTACTGTTACAAAAGACTTGGATTTGTTAAAAGGGTATCTACAATACAATGTAACAAATAGTAACAATAGCTGTGTCTACGAATTAATCTTTATTTTCGTATTTGCTTATAAAAATACTTGACTAACTGTACAACGTTTATGACTATAAATACATATCTAGGGCGGATGATTTAGCTAGGTAGGTCCAACTGCGATAAAGAGGTTCGGGAAGTAACGCGACATCCTCTGTTCAAAAATCCCGCAGTGCCTTAAAACCAAGGTGTGTTGATGACATACGGACAGAGACGTGATCCCTTACTTCTGGTCTGTCAGAGAGACTTAAAGTCGCCCATGTCGAATATGGAAATTGGCAAAAGACCCAGAATCACCATGTCGGTGGCTCTTAAAATCTGCATCCTGAATTGGGCAGGAGCATTTTATTCGCAATCAATAATATAAATGATCTTACCTGGAATCTACTACCATCAGATTTGTTACACTGCATGGATATCGGAGACTCAGTGTAGAGGGCGTGCAGGGAGCTGGCTCGCAGGTGGGTCCAAGGTTTGATGGCGAGGTAATTGGAGCGAGGTGATGCTGTGTAGGAAATCGACATGTTGTCCCAACTAAAACAAAGATTTTGGCATTTAAGAATTACAAACAACGCCTGTTTGTAGGAATCACGGTTCAAAAAATAAAAATATTTAAGTACATTTTGTTTAAATAGTTACTGTCATGATGCTTGTACAATTTTTTGAACATACGTGAATCAACTGAAAAGGCTATATTAGTACCAGTCGGCTACGCAACGCCACCACGCCGCGCACGCTGCTTACGAATAAGAGTCCCGTTGTGACTTGAAACAAGTAGAGCTTTTCTCAATTGATTTAACTGAGTAAGATTTTACTTTCACTTAAAACAAATATGTAGGTATTTACATAGACATACGTTTCAATACCCTTCGTGTTTAGACGTGGATCTATCTGAGACACAATGTCTTTTCTATTGTGTCTTATAAGTACACCGACATTCAACCGGTTCAAAAGATCCTTTATCTTACCGTTTCTCAAACTTGAAGTAGTTTTCTAGAGCAGCGTTAGAGACGGCACTCTTGCAGACCTCGAGTTGTGTGGCGGGGTAGTAGTGAATGTAGTTGACACACATCTCGTCTGTGATCGCGTGCCCTCCGATAGTGGCGTTCTCCTTCTCCTCCGTGTTGTAGATACAAGTCGTTTCTAGATAGTCTCCCTGAAGAAATAAATTGATAGACAACACTTTTTGTAGCCGCTCAATTAATACTATTGCCATTGAAACAGTAGGTACTAAGCCCAGCTGAAAGTGAGAATTTGGAACATCCGAAAACCATTACATCACAACATGTATTTTATCCATCCAATCATTAATTAGAGTAGACTGTATAAAATATGTGTGTAGTAGATGTGGGTAGCATTACAACCGTTTCTACAAATCCCATTTTTTCTGCAGCTATTGCCTTATTTAGGATATTCATGCTGCAAGGAGACTTTAGAGATGGTTTATGACATATTTATGGATGACATGTTTTAGATCGAAACCTATTTTTAGGTTTTTTTTTTTAATAAACGTTGCCCCGCACCAAGATTTTCTCCTGTGTCATGGGTGCGGTTACAAACATACATTTTCACATACACATGACAGCCAGACCCGTAACAACAATTTGTGGATCACACGAATAATTGTTCCGTGCGGGAATCGAACCCGCGACACGTTGCATGGCAGCCAGTTGCCCAGCCACCGCACCAACCGCAATATTTTTTAGGTAATTAAAGATTAACTAAGAAACATCGTTTAAAATTGCATAGGTCATGTTGTAATAAAAAAAATATTTGTTTCATAACAATTTTCTGCTTCCCGACTTGAATCACCGCATTTATACTTTACCAATAGCAAGTACCTAAATCCAGATTAAATTTTACCACCATAGCTTACCGGGAGAACATTGACAGGTCTATGTAGAATTCTGATCTCTTGGAAATGCGTGGAGTAGTGTGTGTCTTTGTTGAGGTAGGGCAGCTCTACCCCTTGACGCGAGTGTCTCGTCCAAACCGCCACTCCAGTCAAGTGCGTGTGTAACTGACTGCCGAAGACCACAATACCGTCTGATGGGAGACCCTAGAATGGAAAATATGCAAGTACGTATATACATATAATATATACTCAATAAAATTTTATTAATTATTTATTGGATAGCAACAGAGGTTGCACAATTGTATGACGACATTGTCGCATTAGGTGGTGTGCCTATAAAGACGGTGTTGTAAATCAATAAAAAAATACAATAATATTTACAATTTTTTGCGGATAATACGAGCCTTTCCAATTATGCCTTATGACCACATCATTCACTACTTGCCTAGGTAGGTATGTACACATCTTAATAAGAGAATCAAAATTGGTAAAATAAAAGCCGGCAGGTATTTTTTTTTAATTCGGCGTGTTTGTGTGGTCGCCGGGGTCCAATCCTTGCCCCACACCCTCACTACTCAAAACCCTATCTTTAAATGCCTAATATCCCACAAGGGTTTGGCAACACCTTTGTAGTTACTCCTATGGTAGGGACTACGAGTGTTCATGGGCGGCGCTGATTGCTTGCCAACAGGTAATCCCTGTGCACGTTTGCCGACGGCAAGGAGAAGGTTGTAGGGGAGGACAGACTCCTCTTCAACATCTGTTAGAATCTTTGGATATTCACGAGCGAAGCCGCAACCGGAAAGCTAAAAATCATTGAATCATCAAACTCCAAGCGTTTGCTTTAATTTGGCGTTTATGCACCTAGTGTTCTTTTATTGTGTCCCAAATTACCACGATTAAATATAAATAAATAGGTAAATTGCTTTAACTTCACACTTACCACGCCCGTACACTGTGGAATACAGTAGCCGGTCAATGGGAAAGCTTTCTGTCTTCCAGGAATGGCCATTTTGTCCGTATATTCTAGCCCGAGTTCCATGATGGCCGCATCGAACTTCCGTCTCTGGCTGGATATGTGAAGAATTATACCTGAACTGTCAACCCAGTCTGGGAAAAGAAAGAGATAATGAAACTAGAAAATTGGTATACCGTATATCACATTATACACATGTTGTTTATCGTATATTGAAAGAACCACAGCGTTGTGCTTCGCCGTGAGATTGAGCTTAGTGGTGGCCCAATCCTTCCCTTCTCCCCATCTCTGCCCAATCTTTGAAACCCTAATGCCCAAAAGGGCGGCGACGATTGCTTACAAGAAGGTTATCCGACTGCTCATTGTCAGTAAGAGTCTGACCGGACGAAAGAAGTTATTCGATGACTTTTTCCCCACAGAAAAAGTAAAATGTATTTTTGGTAATTTCAGTTATTTCAAAATCTGTCCGAATTAGCGTGAAGTCTGGTATTATGAAATCGATTTATGAAAATAGGCTCATCTCTTACGTGGTCTATGGAACTATGTTACAACCTGTCCAACTATTCATAAAATAAAATAACGTTTTAATAAGTATAAAACGTACCTTTCCTCATTTCCGGGTTGTTGTAGTGGACTTCGAGCATGATGAATTTATTCGCTTTCGGTCCTCCGAGAGGCAGGCCGGCCTCCTTTGGATAAACGAACGGAGGAGCTCCCATTGCCCAAGCCGCCTTTACCTAAATTATGGAAGAAGCATCTATATCTATTCTGAACTCAAATTCGGTTGGTACTAACTCAAGTTGGTAGGTCTTTCGAAAATTTTCGGTAAAAGCTCGAAATCCGGTATTTGGACTTAGAAGGCTACATTAAGTTTGTACTTCTTAGATGTTACCTCCGCAAGCACGGATGTTATCAAAGACCCAACAGATCACAACAGGTGCAACCCACTAAGTCCATCCAGGAGCAGGATAAGGAACGGGGTAATTTTTCAGTCAGTAAGAGTGTGACATATCACCACACCACCAAGCAACCACCACATACGCAAAAAAAACCTTCGAGGATTAAAAAGCTTATTATCAAGTCGAGGCCACACTACCAAATAAAAAATATCCTTTTGGAATCTCAGTATTATTTTTGTATAAGACCTTCTTACCTTGGAGCATGTCTTAGTGATTTCTGGTCGGTTTGGAGCAAAGCAATTGCCTTCATACAGCGGTATCTCCTTGTTGGGATCAGCGTCGCAATAAAACACTTCCATATGATGGACCAAGCCTTCGTTGCCTTTTGTGATTGTTGATTCAAACTACAATTTAAGAAATATCTAGGTGATATATTGGTAACATCCTTAACCAAAACTAAATACTTAGCAGTATTTTCGGGACGATCGTGGAACAAATAACGAGATATTCAGGTGAATAGAATAGAATAGGACGGGACTCCTGTTCTTCCTGGACTTCCATGAGCAGCGTGCGCGTTGCGGCGACGGTGACTACGCTCACTTTAAATTGATGATTGTTGTTGTGAAAATAATAAGGAATTTACTCACGTTATTCACGTCGTTACATTTAAGTAAATGGTGTTAAAATATGTAGAGACATTCATGGTGGGATTACCCACCATTTTCACATTTCCTAACTAACGTCACAAGAAAAAAATTTAAAACTTCCTAGCACTGTGATTGAAGTCTCGTTCGTAACACTTCTAAGATATTTTTTATGTTTCCTAGTGACGTAATATTTATGTTCCTATAATTTCTCACCTGAATAATATGGTGAACCTTTTTGGTAACAAAGTCGGGCAGTTTAACAACACGGCACCAGTACGTGGTATCATCTCCGGGAACTTTCAAGTCCTTGTTGGTTATACGAAGTTGGTACGCATCAGTGACTTGCTTCATTCCTACTGGAGTGAAGAGACGCACTCTGATGAAGCCATGGTCATGTGATGGCGTGCAAGTTAAGCAGAGTCCCTTCGACGAGAACAACTTGTCGGTGCCATGAGCCCAAACGATGTGTACTGTACCATCCTGCGAAAATTAGAAAATCGTTTTTTTTTCTATATCAACTATCATAAGACCTATAAAATTTATTAAAAATGGACATTCTCAAGACATTTTTCGACGTTTACTGTGATAAGATCGAGATTTGGTTTCCGTACGGTACAAATCGTTATTCCGTTTCGGAACTGTGGTCACGATACAGAAGGACACACTAGGTTCTAGTGTGAGGCAACGTTCTTAATAAAATATACAAAATAGCTAACAACCATAGTTCATTGCAAAATGAAAAAGAAACACATGCTTTCTAGTTTGTACCTGTTGGTTAGTCAAACTTAGATACATTCCTACTACTGTATGCCTTATTCGCCTGAGTAGATCCGACCAGCAAGGTTTTCACTGCAAATCCTACGTTGGTAGAATAAAATCGACCGTTTCCAGGATAACCGACTCTTACCTCAATAATGTAATCGTCATCATCACAGGTGTCGAAAAACCGTTCAAATATAAAGCTCTGAGTGTCAGCGTCGGGGTGGAAGGCGTCGCAGTCTTGTTGCGAGTCCCGTAACAATTTACCTTCTTCATCCGCGTGCATGTCCTGTGAAAACAGCAAAATTGCTTCTTAATATGTTAAGTATAATTCGATTTTGAATAAGAATTCGAGGGGATTATGGAGGTGAAGTAAACTGTTTCTAGTAGAAATTTACTCGGTCGAGGAAAGGAATGTAAGTAGGTTAATAAATGTTCGAACAAATTGTAGGACGCCCAATACTTTAAAAACATATTTCGGTATAATATAAGAAAGTTTATTATAACCTTTACTTTTTGAAAATATAGACCATCTTTGGCCAGTTAATTAGGGTGTATAACAGACAGGGAATGTTATATATAGGTACCTATCTCCCTAAAACTAAGTAGTAAAAACATATCTCCCGAAAACGTACCTCATAATGATGTTTCCCTTTATAATCTGTCCAAAACACGCAGACATCAGAATTATTCAAATTTCCTCTCTCAGAGAAGCCCAAAGCAAACCAGTAGAACGTAGGAGCTTTGTCCGATATTATTAGTTGAAACTGAATCTTCCGAATTGAATAGTTGATCTGCCATTTTAGCAAGAAGTCTCCATTCGGATCCAACACTGATTCACTTTCTGCTATTTTGTCTGGTAGAACAAAGTGCATAATTAGTTTATATAACTTCTTATACAAAATCCGTAAATACCTAATTGTAATAATACACTTCTCTTCTCTATTAACACATTCAAAGTTAAGATGTTACCTAAATGGAGTCAGTTAAAAAGACAAGCCTAGCAGATAGCAAAAAAATTGTAGGTAAAGTTCTTTAAAAATAATCGTTATTAAAATATTTTTTCTTTTTTTCAAAATTACTTACCAGCATTTTCCTTGATGGTATACGTGAAATGTGAACACACAAATAACGATAAAATTGTTATAATGCACTTTAGCGCCATTACGAGTCCGTGGCTAGAACATTGCTTGAACTAAGACTGGTGCGTCCTGACCGCTCAGCCCGACAGTCGGATAGACAATGAGAAGATCCCTTAGCTTCACAACTATGCAAAGATATATAGCTCGAATAACTTATTGAGAGAGGTGACGGTATGAGGGTTGCTGTACAGTTGGGTGAAAAAGTGTTAAGGACAGTTAAGAAGAAAATCCTTTTTCAACTTTCTATTTTTTATTTTTTTGATGTGACAGCATTTAATATCGTTATAATTATTTACTGTATCTAGTTCTTTATTTAAATGACTTCGTAATACATAGTACCTAACCAAATCATGTTAACTGACTATATCATATTGATATCGTAACTAAAGTAACCTAACCTATTTCGCCGTTTATAAATTTCGCACCTTGAAGTAAGTACATCGTTTTAATTCGTAGATTAACCCCAAAAAATAAAAGTAAGTACAATGGGTTAGTTAGCTTTTTATAAATCAATTAGGTAGGGAAGTCATTTCTTGCCATTTAACTAAAATAACCTAGGTAGGTAGGTAGTATGTCTATTGTCATTAATTAGGACAATGAGATTTCAATTAAAATTTAAACATAGCTAAAATCGGGATCTTAATACTAGTTAAAGTTGAATACGTGAAGATATCCAGAAAGTTTTATATTAATAATACATACGGACCTATCTTCATAGAAATTCTCGGCACTTGGGCGGTGGAATGCAAGGCGGTGTCGGGCGCTATATTAAATTCCTGGCGAATTGACGCCCGCCCGAGATGAGGACCCGGCAGATTAACATTTTATTTCATTACGGATATATGGAGGGTAGATAGGTTTGTGGTTAACCGACGTGCTCGTCAATTATTTAGAGTCAAGATTTGTTTTGTAATGTTTATATAGGTAAATAGTAACACTAGTGTTTAATTGCAGTCTGTAATTTTTCATTAAATTTTATTGTTATTAAATAGGTACATTTCGAAAGGAAAGGTCGTCGTCGCAGCCTAGCTGTCGACTGCGAAGTTGCCTTGATCGCTCTTCAAGAATTAAAGTTTTGTTGTGAATTGAAACTAGTAGAGCATTTCTAAGTTAAATAATGTAATTCGTTATTTACAAATTTTTTGTCAGTCTTACAATAACTATGTTTAAATTTTACTTCTTTTCTAAAATTGAGAAAGAAGTAGTAAAGTTTAGGTGAATACTCAACCTAATCAAATGATCATAACATACTTAATAATAATAATTCCTTCCTTCGTCCCTTAGACCACCACAGACGGTGCCTTATATGGCTAATGTTCGGCCGGGGTTGCGGGGCAAGCACAATATCTAAGACACCGCATAGAGCAGGAGTAGTTACGGAAGAGAGGGGTTTAGTCAGTAAGTTTGACACTCCTTCTCTCCTCACCCTGGGCGGGAGAAATCATTCACAAAAAAAGTCACTTTAAATTATAAGATAAGTGGGCATCAAAATGGACAAAAGGTTCAAATAATACAAATCTTAAAAGTATATGAACATTTTATTGTAACAAATACAATATATTTATAGCTTTACGCTACATTATTATCATCAGTTTCTTGTCTATCTACATCTGTAGTCTCACTTGTTTCTTGGGTTGCAGCGTCCTCTTGCGTGGCACCATCTGATTTAGTTTCTCCTACTGAAGACGGTGCTTCCTGCAAAAAATGTATAGATTGTTATTACACAAATTAAATGGTAAAGGGATGTTTTGGTGACTGGATGATCATGATCAAAAGGAAGGGAAAAGTCGCCGCCGCCGATCACTTCCGAGCCTCAGCTTAAGCAGGACTCCCTGCTACCGTAAGCTCCATGACGTTTGCTAACTTATTAAAAAAATATTCAAAAAAAAGATCGACAAAGACAAAAGTCATGTAAAAAAATATTTTACCTCTCTTTCGAACAATATAGCCAATTCGACGTGTTTGGTCTGCGGGAACATGTCGACAGGTACAGCGCGGACAGGCACGAAGGGTGCTCCTCTTAACGTCTTGGAACTCGGCCTCGTGAGGTCCACGAAGTTCTTCACAGCTGACGATGGACTGCATGAGATGTAGACTAAGCGAGTCACTTTACGGGTGTTCCTTAGTTGTGTTACTGCTCTCATGTCTAGAAATTGTTTCAAATTACAAGTATCGATTTTATTTTTGCTATAAGTAATGCTATTTTTTTAAGTGTGTTAACAACGTGTGTTAGGTATAATAGATATATCAAGTGTGAAAACACTAGTTGTTTTAATTTATTTTGATACGAATAATTTATTTAAGTAAAGAAAAATATTTGATATAACACTTTTTTGTAGGGTTAAAAAAACATTGAATCAAATCTTCTAGTTTTATCACTTTTTGTGCGTTATTCAAACAATGAATTTATTTTTGCAAATAAGCTTTTACACGTCAAATTATATTTAAAAACCTGACTAGTCTGAGAAGAAATGTCGAAACAAACTCAGAGTTCCGTTAGCTATTAAGCTTAAAGGTAATACTGAATTGCTAATCGTAATCACCCCTAAGCGAAAGTCAGAAGTGTGTACCTATAGTAAAGAGGTAATATTTGTCCTTTAACCGCATGTCATCTACATATTATTATAAATATCTATATCAACAATACAACAGGTAACTTACGTAATCCAGCTCTGGGTGGATCCACGATAGCAATAATGTCATCCCCATCAGCCCTAGCTAGTACCGATGTCAGAATATCCTCGGCCTTGCCAGCGAAGAAATCACAGTTCTGTATACCGTTCAGCTCGGCGTTCGCTCTTGCATCCTTCACCGCTTCCGTTATCATTTCCAAGCCTAATACTCTTCCACAATGCTGGAAATGAAAGCGTTTAAAAATCACAAAATTATTTAACGGATTTTAAACAATGCCCTTGTTTAATAATCGTCAAATAACTGAAAAGAAATTCTTAAAAACTAGTCTGTTTGACTTACACCCGGTTTCCAAAAGGCCGATCAATGTTAAAATCAATTTAATCTCTTGTCAAGTCATCTGATTGGCTGACTGAATTATCAACAACCAATCAGATGACTTGACAAGTGATTTGACACCTAGTTTGTTGATTTTAACATTGATTGGGCTTTCGGAAACCGGGCATTAGTTTTTTAGATAATTTAGATTGATTTTAGAAATTCTAAAAAACTAAGTTTGCTTTCAAACCGTCTTGAGCAAGCGTGGTGATTAATGGTTATACCTTCTCCATGCGAGAAGAGGCCTTTGCTCAGCAAAGGGTACTTATGGTCTGATGATGATGACGATGAATGAGCTCATTCAAAATAACACATAGTAAAATGAGTACAGCAGCACTCTCTAATAAACACTAACATCTACGCCTTTCGTGGAGATAAAACCAATCCCTCTTATGTAATGAGCCCATACATCAGCACTGGATTTACACAGAAGTTATTGTATGTAATTACAAAGTTTTATTTAACTTGCCATGGACTTATGTTGGGTAAGTAAATTTTAAAGCAGATTATCTTCAACCGATTGAACTGATTCTGTCGTAAACACATCTAGTTTGCATGACTATTAAAACATATAAATAAAAGACTATATAAGAGCAAATTATTTACAAAAGAAATACCCTGTCTGAAGTTCCAGTTCGAAAGAGCAGCACACAGTAATAAAGAATATTACAACTAAGCTTTATAACTTTACTCTAAATCCATACAAAAGGGTTTAGTCCCGGGACATTTTTCTCTCTAATAAAGATTTTATAAATGATCTATAAAAAGTTAATTTATTTAGTAATTATATCTAAGTACTTACCGGAGCAAAGCACAGTCCAATGGTACCGGTACCGCAGCATATATCAAGAACGGTAGAATCCTTCTCCACTTGGCTCAGCTCGATCGCACTTTGGTATAATACCTCAGCACCTGCCGTATTCACCTACAACAAAATAAATATAATTATATACATATATTAATTAACAGATATATATTAACCTCTACTACCGCGCAGTTTCTGTTGGTTGTAGTGTTATGTTTCATAGCCTATAACACTCCGCAACATTGTAGCTGTCTATCGGTGAAAGAATTTTGGGAATCCGACCAGCGGGTCCAAAGAGTACCCCCTACCTACATACAAACTTAAAAATTTTACCTCTTTTTAATATTAGTACAGAATAGATTAGGTACCTATTTAAATGTTGGACAAAGGTGTGGGTTGAATAAAATGTTAAGAACCAGTAGGTATTACTCCTACGTCAAGTAGGTACCTATCACAGTTTTTTTATTAACTGGCAAGCGCTAGGTATGATCTATATTCAAATGATGAAGCATTGTGACGTTAAAATAATTATCGTTAAACTATGTTTGACAGCTATTGGCTTCAAGAATATAATGTGAAACTGGCCATAAGTATAATTATTAAGTACTAGGTATTTTTCAGTTTTTCTTTTTTGTTTTTTATACATATATCGGTGCCACGGAGTAAGAACAAGTTACTCTCGTGATCGGTGCCCAGCCAATATGTGTTTAGTATTAAGATTACCTGGAAAAATGCTTCTGGCGATATCCTAAACTGTTTGCCAAGTATTGTGTCAATTATATGCGTGGAGCCAGATAGATGCACTGGTTTAGCTCCATCCTCGCCCACTCGTCTGAAAGGGGAAATCAACATATTCACTCAATATATAGGGGATTTTTTTGTGAGTGGAATATCGGCTGAACATCAGCCCTAATAGGGTCCCGTCTGCGGTGGTTTATTGGCTCTTTGAGGCGCGCGCGGAACGCTACACGCCGAATATATAGTATAATATAACTGTTACAGTTAGGTACAATTTGACCATTTAATAAAGACTTAAATTTTTATGTACACAAATTACATTTCACTGTATGAAATGTAATGATGATAATGATGAACTCCAAGCCCAGGAGTCATATATTCTCGTAAATATTTTTGTACATGCCATTTCCCCATTGCCGACCCTAGATAGAGTAGTAGGAATAAAATAAATCATATAAAACTAAAAGTTGTCCTCGATACAAAAATATGTAAAAAATAAAAATAACAATGATGTAAGTAGCGATTGTACTGAAAATAGATAATAATGTGTAAAAGTATGTAGTTACTTACTTTTTGACAGCCAGTTCGAAATATAGAGATTTAATTCCGCACGCGACCGCTTCCTCTGAATTAAAATGTTCGATTAAATCCTTTTTCACCTGATCTATTTCTTCTTCTGTTAGATTCTGAAATAAAAATATAATAAAGTTTAAGATTTTTTTACTACACACGGTGATATTCGCCAGTTCTGTTACTTGAACTTAGCTTAGCACGCTCCCGCTTTTCTAAATTCATAGGTGTATTTAGAAACTGCAAATAATTTCATTCTCATTAAAATATTTAGTTACACGAAAAGTAAGCTAAATATTAATAATAAGTTAATTTAAGGTTACTTTATTTTTATATTTGAATAAATATTAGTGTTACACTGTTCTCACATAATTGAACCAACTGTTTGTAAAAGGAATCTGTATGTGAAACTGATTTAAAAAGAGTAACCATGGAGTTTCTTGCTCGTTCTTCTCCATCGGAATCTACACTTTGGAACGAGCAAATAGCTTCACTAAGAGGACTGACCGACAGACTGACACAATTTTTTATTTTAAATTTTGTTTGACGTTCAAAAGTGCCTGTAAAGGTCTAATTGGAATAAATGATTTTTGACTTTTGACTTTTTGAATAACTGGTTTATTCAGATGTTAAAAATATTTTATTAACAAAATGCAAGTACCTACTGTCCGTTATACTTTTTGAACTTTATTCTTCAATAAATAAAGACTTATTTCGTTTACAAACTCACCTGGGGATGCATAACGACTATAAGCATGACATCTCCGGTTGAAGTGGAGTCCCGTACGGTAAGGAACCTCCAGTACCCTGTGTAGTCAGCTGGAGAGAACGGCGCCATCTTTGATTTACGGACAAAGTCTTGAAATAGCTGAAATCATTACATATAATTACTTTTATTACTCTTAGAAGAGAGAAGAGGCTTTTTATTATAAATACTTCTTACTTTATATTGTTATTGCTCAGTTTTTAGAATTTAGAATTTATATATATTGCTATGGGTTTAAAATTGCCTGAAATAAAGATTATTAAATTTTAATTAATTTAATTTAATTACTAATAAGAGGAAAAGGTTACTCTTTCAGAAGTCGCACTTTCAAACATTTAATAAAAAGATTATTCTTACCAAAACAGCTTTCTTGGTCTTTTCAGAGATGTGTATCATTTCTTGTATGGGTCCAACGGCTACTGTGCCAGTCACATAACTGCCCAACCTGAACCCGACAGTGGGCAACTTGGTCTCTTCATCATACCCCACTGTGAACTCACACTTATTTCTATACCCCACAGTAACAGGGGACTTCTCGATCGGCCTTAACTCAAAACTCAGGCCATCATGAACCTTTCTGTTAACTTCAATCTCATTACGCCTACTCTTGTCTATTTTCCACCTTTCATTGTCAAACTTCATAAGTATCTGCTTTATTTCCTTTTCTTTTAGTTTCAACTGTAAAACAAATAGCTTTAGCAAGAAAAACAATATGGAATCGACATTATCCAGTTTTAAATTTGTTCTTAACCAAGAAATACTTGAAAGTAAATGTCAGAATAGAAGAAATTGGTAAGACCAATACAATTTATCAATGAATGCTTCGATTTGAAAAATTAGCAAGGGACTGGCTTTATCACAGTGGAAGAACTAAAATGAACGAAAATGGGAAAGAAAAGATGCCAAACCAAGCTTTTTATTTAGAAGGGCACCATTTTTGTAAAGTGAGAGAGTGCTGATAGTGCTCTCTCACTATTATTGACACAGCTTATGTTATACCCCATAATTTACAAGGCCACTTTATTGATCATAATTATAAAAATAGTTAAACATTTAAATAAATATTTATAGGTTCATTTTCATATGAATTTATAAAATCTTGTATGTACCTGTTCCTCATAAGCAATATTCCAGTAAGGAGTGGTAGCATCTTTCAACTTCTCCTCTTGACTCCTGTTGTCCTCTTCTTTCTTCTTCTTGTTCTGGCTTACTTCTTCATCTTGTTTTCTCTTTCTAACTAAAGGATCTGGGGCAGGTTTAGCTTCTTCAGCAATTAAGGTCTTTCCTGAAAATATGTGACTTGCTTAAAATATAGATCTTATGAAAAAATAGTCAACAAATTAAAAAAATTGTAAAATCATCCAAAATGTAACAAAATGTATTACAACATACATTGTTCTTATTTTCCTGAATGGTGTAAATGAATAATTGTTTAACAATAATAGGTAAACATAAGATTATTTTTATGAACATAAAATATCTTATGAGCAATTCTTGTATACAATTATCTATACATTTTGCAAAGATTTTGCAAAGTGCTCCAATGATTTGGATGATTTTTTTTTCTATGTGGTTTCAGGGACTCAAAAAGAATGTAGCTTAATTTTAATTAAGTATTTAATGTTAGTAAAAATATTAAATAAAAGATTAAAACGTGGTTATCTTGGCATAAAATATAAGATGCCGTCACATACCTTTCCAGGAATAACCATTGAGTGCCTCAACGGCACTCTTCCGATCCTCATCATTCTGAAAACATGCATACAACCACTGGCTGCCATTCCTAGGCCTTTTGATTTTACTTGTTTTCAATCCCAGTTTCTGGTTCATTAACTTTTTTAGTTCCTAAAAATTAAAATATTTTGTATTAGTTTGGTTTTAAAAATTATATTGAAAGGTTCAACATAAAGAGAAAGTAATAAGTAATTATTACTTATAATTGCTACTTTTACTAGTACTACCTATTATAATACTAAAGTACGCTTGTTATTTAGTAAAACTAAAAACTTAGAATACAATATATTTAACATTAATATTTGTATACTTATAAATTTCTATCGAATTAGAGAATTTAAAAACTTAGTTCTGATGTTATTAAAATGATTATATATGCTTTAGCTATTAACAGCTGTTAACTTACCGCTATCCCATAAAACTTAGGCAAACCACGCAGCTCAATTTTAAACTTTTCCGAAGAAAAACCACCTCGATCTAAGTATGCATATTCTTCTTCAACCTGCTCTTCTTTGTCTTCGGGAGCTTTCTCAACAGCATCGACTGTTCCATTTTCTTCTGCCATTTCTTTATCTAAAATACAAACAATATAAATAAACTCACTATTTACTTTCGTAAAAGTTTTGTTTTGAGGTTATTTTTCAGTATTTATAAAAAGTGGCGTGTTTTTGTAGCTATTCTATTCTGACATTGAGAAAATCTTTACAGTGTGAGTAGGACAAAAAACAACATTATGCCTTTTATCACAACAGATACAACTTTTTTGGTATCTGGAACACAACACATCACAACTGACAGTGCCAATATTTGACATTCATTTTCGTTTAGAAATGCTGAAGGTAGGATTTTGTTGCCTGGCTTATAAAACTTGTATAATAAAAAAACGTTTATTATCCAATTCCAATATTATGTTTAAGTCAATTTCTGTTATAATTTAACATTTTTCGGTATGTTCGCTAGATATTTGGTGAAATATTTAAACATCGAGGCGTACAAAATAATGAAAATCAATTTTCGTTAAACGTATGATATATTTCTTAAGATATATAACAATAAATAAAGTTTGAAATAAATAAATTACATTCGGAATAGATTTAGAAAATTCTTCGTACAAAAGGTTATCTAAATACATGGAAGTAAGATATACTATCACGATAGAATAGCACAGTATGAGGTATTTAGTCTAAAATTTTTACATTTAAGTACACATTTTAATTAGCTGACAATAAAGCCAGTTTTAATATAATGTCACTATCATTTAAAGGTGAAACAAAACCTTTACCTACTTTTGTGTAAAAGAAAATGGTTCTTATTGCCAATTTCATAAAATTTATACATGTATAATGATTTTAAGGAGGATATAAAGTATACACAACTACAGAATTCTTCACTTAATTTGGCTGCCTAAAGACCAAAGACTGTTTTAAGTCTCTTTGCATCAACAAAATGTATATCAAACTAAACTAAAATCAAAACTTTTATTTGCATGATATTGCTTTGGTACATAAATTAACACATTCAGTGCCCCCGACGCGTATGTGCGTGCGAGGAAACGCACATACGCGTCGGGGGCACTGAATGTGTTAATATTACATAGAAATAGAGATCGTAATACAAATAAATTTCTATTTCTGTGCACTCTGCATTCTATAATTAAATTATAACGCAAAATTCTTTAACAATATGTGCGTCAACGTTATTGCATTCAACTGTTAATAATAATTATCAGCACACAATTTAAGAAATAAATAAGATATTATGTCACACTATCAATAATTTCAAAGGATATATTTAATTCCTTCGAAGAATATAATTATTATATTAAAATAATATATTAGCTCCATTTACATATAAATACATGACTATACTACTATGTACTTATTTCTTCGTTCCGAATGGGCTACGCGATGTAAGATCAATGTTCATTCGATTGATTGATGAATTTTCAACCTTAAGACTAAGGACATAAGAATATAATTTTATCCACCATCAACCTCGAGTATTCATTGATAACAGAACATGTCCATTTACGAGGCATTTTCGACCATATTACATTGCACAGCCCATTATAAATGCAACCTTATTCCAATTGCTATGTGGTCCCATTTGCGTTCTTCACAAACATGTTTTTAAGCGCATCTTTGTCTTGTTCCTCTTTTTGTTTTCTTAATTTCTTTATATGTTCGAGTTCTTTGTCTACTGTTGCCGACATGGACGGATTTAAGGACTTTAGTCTCTTGAAGTCTTCTTCAGCTTCGTCAGGGTTCCACGCGCCTATGTGAGCTTTACCTCTTCTGTATAAGGCCTTCTCATTATCTGGAAAAAAGTAATTAGTTTTATATGACCTTAGGTGGTTCTTCGTAGGTACATATTATGTACTGCAAAAAAATATCTTATTTTCACTGTAATACAGTCTTAAAATACAGTTTAAAAACGCGCATACTCTCGTAAGAAAAAAGGAAATTGTCGATTTTAATTCTTCAAAACTAGTATTGAATTTGACTAGTTGCCAAGGCGACCGAGAGACAGGTAACAGCATCCCTTATCCTGTGATCAAAATGCCACCTCCAAACTTCGTAGACATTGTAACAAAACGCATTTAAGGGGGAGGCTCTAGTTTATCCTAATAAATAGGCAATATTTCCACTAACTATTAAGTAACTGCACAGTTGGCACAGTGAAGTGTGGGAGACCCCTGCTTCGGCACGACTGGACCGGCTCGACCAGAGTTATACCACGGCCTCATAGAAAACCGTCATGAAACAACCACAGCGTTGTGTTTCGCCGTGTGATTGACGTTACTGGAGACCTAATCCTTCCCCTACCCCATCCTACCCCAAACGCCTAATCTCTGGAATCCCAATCCGTCCGACAACGCATCCGCAAATCTTCTGGTGTTACGGGAGTCCATGGGAAGCACCGATTCGCTTACCATCAGGTCTACTTGTTCCCCGACCTATGTCATAAAAAAGTGACAAAAAATTCTATAGCAGGATAACGCTTTTTAAGAAAACTATTTATGAATACAAACAAATACATCACAATACCTTTGTCATATTCAAGAACGGTATTACAGTGTTCTATGACCGCATAGTACTCTCCATTGATCAGCTTACACTGTGCAAAGTTCAGTAGTATCGGCAGTTTCACTTTGTTCAACTCTACCCATTCTTCATCACCTTTTCTTTCCCTGTAGAATAATAAAAAAAGATAAGAAATTTATTCCGCACAAACAATAACAGATACATACAAATTAATAATTGACAAATAAGTGGGTACACAATACAAATTACCAAGACAGTAACGCAAAAAAAAAAATAAAAAAAAATATTATAAAATTACGTATGACGTGTAGCTAGTTTTAAACAGTTAGGTTCATATTAAAAAAAAACTTCACAAACTAAAGTCACTTTATGCCATTGGTTATGGCTGTGTTAAGTCCGTTCAAAAGAGGGTGAACCGAACCTAATTTTTGATAGTTATAAGATTCATAGCTTCTGACATTTACATGCATACACACATAATAGTAACTATCTTCACATAACATATCATCAGCCTATAAGTACCCACTGCTAAGCAAAGGCCTCAAGACAACTTAAGGTTTAAGCATTAATCACCACACTTGCTCAAGATGGATTGGCGATTTTGAACTTATAATTAGAAATTATAAGTCCAGATTTCCTCACGATGTTTTCCTTCACCATATGTCAGTGGTGTAGAAGTACATATAACTCGGATAAAGTCACATTGGTACTTGCCAGGTTTAACCTCTAGGCCACCAGTAACTATCTTAGGACATGTTAAATTTATTGATTTTCAGAAAAGTTCAACTAGTTTCAAGTCACAACGGGACTCTTATACATAAGCAGCCTGCGCATCCAACTGTTTATTTGATAAAACGCTCATTTGAACTTAATAAAGACTACTTACAATAAACTCAATAAAAAAAATGTTTTATTTTTATTACCTGACCATGAGCTGTTCACAAATATACAGAGCTTCACTGTATGCATCCTCCGCCTCCTTATACTTCTTCTGTACATATAGTTTATTGCCTTTCTCCCTCAGCATGGGTATGAGGTCTGTCCTCTCCTTAGCATTCAACTGCCACAACTCTTTCTCATATTCGTCTGATCTCTCCACTTTTAGTATTTCTAGAAAGAAAGATATGGAATAGATGTCATAATATAAGCTAATATTCCAGAGCGTATGGAGCCTTGCATCTGCGCGCGCCTTATAGAGCCAATAGACCACCACATAAGGGGCCCTAAGGGCTGATATTCGGCTGGGGTTGCGCGATAAGCGCAATGAGCCTCGGCCCAGAGCAGGAGTAGGAACGGGGAGATTTTTAATCAGTAAGTCTGACATTATGGGCAGAAGAAGTAGTTTAATGATTTCCCCGCCCAGGGCCAGGCGGAAGGTAATGCCACTCTTACTGACTAAAAACCCTCCTGCTCTGGGCCGAGCTCGCGGTGCCTCATTGCGCTTATCCCGCAACCCCGGCCGAACATCAGCTCTATAGGGCCCCGTCTGTGGTGGTCTATTGGCTCTTTAAGGCGCGCGCGGAACGCTACGCTAGTTCTGGTTGGGCGGCGAGTTGCCTATACTCGCCGACCGCAGACCCGCGCTTACGGTAGCCGGAGATCGTCCCTTGTTATTATTACTATTACCGTTGCATCAATGCTAGTTTATCAATGACAGTTCAACCGATAAAATATCATCCTAAATTATGAAAAAAAACTATAAAAAGCAGTAGGAGCTTCCTAAGAATATATTGCATGAGAAGGAACCACAGTTACTCACAACAAAGTCAATATCATACAATATTGATTGAATATGAGATAAGATAATAGCCAAGTGGTTTGTTGTATTGATGAGTATTTCATTTTGGGCTCTTTCGATTACATGGTTTAACCATGATCCATTTATATGTATGCTTAATTTCATCACAATTTGTTCAGAAGTTTTACCAATAAACAGCAACAATTGTCTTGCAGATTAACTTTAGCGTTTTTTTTTATCAGGGGAAAATCATCAAGTGACTTCTTCCGCCCAAGGTTGGGCGGGAGGGAGTGTCAGACTCTTACTGACTAAAAACCCCCCCATGCCCATCCCCTGGTGCCTTATTGCGCTTGCCCTGCAACCTTGCATGTTTTTTTTAGTGTGAGGTACTGATCAATCATTTCTGCCAAATTTATTTATTTAAAAACAACAATTTGTTCTGAGCATTTGGGAAATAGCTTATTGATTTGTGTGCTGTTTACACAGCTACATATCTTATAAGGAAATATAATATTCAATATCCTAAAAACATAATTCCGATAGATACTGATAAAACATGATTTTTTATACTAATTGTTGACAGAACAAATTCACTTACCTATGATAAACTCCAGGTCACAAGGGTTCTTCATGAGGTCATCTAAGTCTGGATGTCCAAGACCTTCAGTATGCAGGGTCATTGTACATGAATGTTTTATCTTGTGCTGTTCCTGACCTAATTCTCGTAGAGTCTTTGATATGAAGGGATAACTGAAGACTAGCTGTAGATAAAATATATTTATTAATTTATAAGTAATAATTAATACTACTAAGCACTTAGTTGTGTGATTGAATTATCATTTATTGTATTAATACTCACTGTGGTACATAAAAACAAAAGAGTTTTA